AAGCAAAAATAGCCTAAAATCAATATGTGTGACACGAAAACCCCATTTCACTATCTTTATGAAAACAATCAAATTATGGTCGACCAGTTTTCGCATTTTCATTAGATTCTCGAAGATTTTTCTTTTTTTGGATAATCGATAAAGGATAAATGTTAGAAAAGGTATTTTATAACCACAATGTATTACTTGAAGCAACTACTAAATACTTTACATAAAAAAAAATTACAGTCAGGCATAAGATTTTGGAAAGTTTTATGACAACAATGTCCTATCGTTCCCTTCTGGGACACCCTGTTTAAAAAAATAGTTTATATCATGAAAATTTTAATACAAAATCGACTTCATTTATTAAAGTTATTCGGTGTTTAGTGTACAAAGCACATTATCTGATTGGAACAGATGTTCGCTAAATTTGCCTAAGCGACTTACCGGTGTATTGTTCGTCTTTGACCTAGTTGGAAAACGTTCAAATGGGGAAAACTGGTGCATTATTTTGTTTTGTAAAAAACTCTTGTATAAAAGCTGCAGCAAAAAATTCCTTTATTAGGAAATATAACAAATACCATGTTTAACGCAATTCTCGGGCTTCTTTGGTTATATCTAAAGGAATAAATTTTTTTGTCCTTTATTTGACTAAATAAAATCAATGACAATATGGAATAATCGCAAATGACTTTTTTATTAATAATCCCAACCATTTCCGCCATTAAAACAAGCGTTAATGGTTGCTATTGTATAAGTAGACCACCAAGAGTTTATTATCATAATTTAATATTATTTTATAGCCACACACTGGCATGATAAAAAGTGAACATTAACTTTAATGACGGATTGTATTATTAAATTAATCATAAATATACATTTGCAATGTAGTTACTTGCATAAACAATATTTTTTATTAAACGAAGCCTTATTTGATCTTTCTAACGTATCTTTCTGTATGTTGAATTTATTCGCATTTAAAAACATTATTAACCAAGCTATTTTTCAACTTTAATAAGGCGTTAAGTACTATCCAACATGCAAATAAATAATTATTATTACGAAAGTGATATTTTACAATAAATTCGTATGTACATATATTTATCTAATCCTATTGCATAATATTGTTTTTTATGAATAATGATAAACATTATAAATTCCCTGCCTAACAAAGGGAATAATGAACTCATTATTCACGTTGTTAGGTATCAGTTATTGTCCGATTTCAATATTCACTGTGATTTGAGCCAATCGGGTTTTAAATTGGGACTATAATATAAAGTAAAGAAAATAAAAAATATTAAATAATAATATTATTTCTTTATGAAAGGCCTTATATCTCATTCTGTGGAGGTATAACCATAGAAAAAGGATATAACAGAGATACGACCCTGACTCAAAACTTTCTTCCAAACCGTGTTACCACCACTAACATATTAAGCAAAAATTACTGTTTTAACAGACATGTTAAGTTACATCAATGGGCCCATTGATGTAACATTTAAATTTGGTAAAAAGTAAGGTTAACCATTTGACAGATGTCAGATTTTATTTAATTATTTTTGAAAATCGTTTAATTATCAACTTATTGAAGTAGGTAAAGGAAAATAAAAATGCAATAATTGTTTCTACCAAAGATAATAAAACACTCTTATATTTCTACCAATCATTATTGCGGCATGTCCATCAAGCAGGCTGATCTTTAAGCGCGAAATTAATTTCATGAATTTACCGGCGCGAAATGATATTAAAAATGATCTAGTATGTGGCAATAAAATCCGAGTTCCCACGCGAAAATTTTTTCAGCAATTAACGTATTTTAACATAATATCTGTTATAGCGCTCAGTGGCGGCTCGTGGGTGTGCAGGAGGGTGAATCTAAAGGAGGTTAATTTTGTCTAAATACGAATAAATTTTCACGTCACCAAAACTTAAAAATATATATCTGGAACTAAAAAATATATTTATATGGATGGATAAAAATATATAGATATATATATATATATATATATATATTAGACTGGTTCAAAAAAATCTAATATTTTTTTTCCTTCAAAGCCCGCATTGAAATATCTTCCTAGTAGTGAAAAAAGAAGGCTGTGAAAATTGTAGCTCTTAATATTAATATTTAGAGGTCGCTCATCGTGAATTTCTATTTTACGTTTAAATAACACAGGAATTCTTTTTTCTTAACTTTAAAATTTTATAACTCGTTTTTGAGTGAACATATTGGATTAAGCGACACATATTTTTAAAGAAAATTAAACGCTCTACAAAAAATGTCTCTTATAATTTTTTCACAAATTCACTTCTTTTATAGTTATTCAAGGTTGAAATTAGACATATAATAAATTTAACGTTTTTTTTCAATTGGTGGCATAATAATTAACCTTATCACTCATTATTGTACAGGATGGTCCAGTTTGTAATACAGTAATTTTAATAGGTGATAAAGCATCAAAAATAAGGTAGACTTTTATAAAAAAAAATTTCTTAAAAAAAATATTTTTCTCTTCATAACTTTTAAACCACAAAATTAATTTGGCACACAATGTAATATAGTCAGTGCCTTAATAATAATGTAGATAATCAGTGCCGCAGTTACTTGGGGGCTGCTCCCCTTTTCACCTCAGTCTTTGACGCCACTGGAAATTTTAAAATAATAAATAAATGTTTAGGTCAAGTTTTTAATTAATGGAAAAAATTTGCTCTTGTAAAATTTTGATTTGGGGCCTGGTTTCTAAAATATTTGCTCAAAAATGTTTCCTCGCAAAATTAAATTTTTAGATTGTCTGTTCAATTTAGAGAAAAAAAACTACTGTACTAAAATTTTAATTTAGGTCTTCGATTTTGAAATATTTGGGAACACTCCAAAAAAACTGCGGCAAAAGTATTCTTGGATAAATAAATTAATTATTTAAAAAATGAAGCACTAAATCAAAATTTTACATGAGTAGTTTTTTTCTCTAAATTAAACAGATAATCTAAAAATGTGTTTATTATTTAAAAAAATTCCAGTGGCGCCTATGGTGAAAAGAGGAGCAGACCCCCAAGTAACTGCGCAACTGATGTTTTTTTAAATAATTATCCACATCATTACTAAGACATTGACTATATTGTGTACAAAATTTGATAAAAATGGTTTAGAAGTTATGATGGGGAAACGAGTTTTTTTTATAAACTTTGACGGAAAGCGTCTCTGCGAGGAAACATTTTTGAGCAAATATTTCAGAAACAAAGACCCAAATCAAAATTTTACAGGAGTAAATTATTTCTCTAAATTAAAAACTTGACCTACAAATTTATTTAATATTTTAAAATTTTTAGTGGCGTCAAAGACTGAGGTGAAAAGGGGAAAAGTCCCCCCACATTATTATTAAGGCACTGACTATATTACATTTTGTGCCAAAATTAATGTTGTGGTTTAAAAGTTATAAAGAGAAAACTTGTTTTTTTGTAATCATTGACGACCTGTATTTTCCTTAGGAAACATTTTTGAGAAATGTTAATTAATGAAAGTCTACCTTAAAATTAATGTATCACAAACTGGACCGCCCTGTATAATCTTTTTTGAAAATTTTATATAAATTATGTTTCTTTAAAAAAATATCGCTCGTTCCAATATGTCCACTCAAAAAAAAGTTATAAAATTAAAAGTTAAAAAAAATCCTGTGTTATTTAAACGTTACATTTATTATAAGTCTAATTTCAACCTTTAATAATTATTAAAGGAGTGAATTTACGAAAAAATTATAATTCAATTTTCTTCAAAAATATATAGAGTTCATTCCAATATGTTCACTCAAAAACGAGTTATAAAATTTCAAAGTTAAGAAAAAAGAATTCCTGTGTTATTTAAACGTAAAATAGAAATTCACGATGAGCGACCTCTAAATATTAATATTAAGAGCTACAATTTTTACAGGCTTCTTTTTTTACTACTAGGAAGATATTTTAATGCGGGCTTTGAAGAAAAAAAAATATTCGATTTTTTTGAACCAGTCTAATATATATATATATATTAGGGTGGGTCAAAAAAACCGACTATTTTTTTTTTTACTTTTTTTACTTTGTACTCTGAAAAATCGGTTACTAGACACCTCTAAGGAATTCTCACCAAACATGAGCTCTTAATTTTGATAACAAGGTCCTCCGCTTTACAATTTTCCATTTTTTTCTCAGTATTAGAAACAAAAATTCATATCTCTTCGACGACTGTTCGTTAAAAAATAACTATTCTTGTAGGAAATCGAACGCTCTACAAAAAAGGTCTCTTACAATTTTTTCGTAAACCTCACCGTTTAAAATATATCAAAGGTTAAAGTTTAATTATTATAAGAAAAATTTCTGTTTTGCTTATGAATTTTATAACTCGCTTACAAAATTTTTTTATGAATCGCGCAACTCATAGTTTTGTAGGAAATTAACTGCTCTACAAAAATGATCTCTTATGATTTGTCGATTAAATTAAGCGTTTAAAAGAAATTCATCGTCAAACTTCAATGCATACTAATTTTAACAGTTTTTGATGAATAATTCGAAAATTTTCAATTTAATTTTTGAGTTTTACGAAAATTACTGAGGAAAAAATGGAAAATTGTAAAGCGGAGGACTTTGTTATCAAAATTAAGAGCTCATATTTGGTGAGAATTCTCTAGAGGTGTCTAGTAACCGATTTTTCAGAGTACAAAGTAAAAAAAAAATAGTCGTTTTTTTTACCCACCCTAATGTATATACACATCTTTTTCAGTTTCGTTTCCACCCACCACATCTTCAGGCCCACTTTGACGAACCGCCACTGGTCTCTGTAATTGCTCGGTAATTCCGCAAATACCAGCGCACTTTGATGGAAAATAAAGCCCGACAAATAAAGTTGGCGGTGCATAATTAACCCAAGCATTGCGTTTTTGATTTCACACCCTAAGTTTTTTTGCAATTCGTTTTTAGATCTTAAATTTTTACGTTGTCCAAGATCATAAATTATTTAATAAATGTTTAATGCAATTTCTTTTTTTCAGAATATTATAATAGGCATCGCTGGAGGCATGATTGCCTGCATAAATCCATTGACTCCAAGGAGACAGGAAATCTTCCTTTACCTATCAGTTACCATATTAACAGTAAATTTCGTCAATATTATCATAACTGAGTGGGAGATGTACTTTATAGACATACAAAAGCTACATAGAAATCATTCAAACCACATGCTTATAGATTACGGTAAGTACAAATAATTATTTATAGTGGGTATTAGGAGTCTAAAAATAGGCTTTACTTGTACCTAATTTTTTTTATCAAAATGTATACGTACGGGTCATTCCACCAAATAAATTTTGTATTGTCTAAATTAAAATAATTTATATCTTAAAATATTAATAATAATAATTTCTTAAAACTTTTGTTTTATAAAAAAAATACAAACAGTACTGACAGGGGTGACACAAAAAAATGTATTTAGAGGAATGCCCCAGATAAATATACGTATTATTTAAAACTTAGTTTGGGTCAAAATAAATAATAGGTAGTAAAATTTAATGTATCGTGGGTTATCGTATATAAGACATAAAAACTATAAATTTATACAAAGTCGCTCGTTATCTACATTTTTATTGACTAATTATTGAAAGGTTTTTTACAAATGGGCCATTTCAGGCAAGCGGACGGGACAAACCACAAAACTGTTTTTATAAAAAAAATTGTAGGTATTTTATTATATAATATTTTGGCATCAAAATTGTCAAAAATCTTCTTCTTTTATTGGGCTATACATTAAATTAAAAAAACGCAAAAAATATTTTATCTATTTTGCGTTCATATTGACTTTATTAACGAGATACTTTATCCCACCCAAAATTTTGATTTTAAACAGCATAATATTTTGCATATTGGTTATAATATTTTTATGATTTTTCTAGTACTATTTGTACTTTTCTGGCAATAAATTTTGTTTGGCACCAAAGAAAATCCTTTTTTCTTTTTTAACATTAACAGCCACTTATTGTAAAGAAGTAAATTAAGGACGGCATGGCGAATCGATTTTGACATTAACTGTCAAACCAATGACTGTGATACCAACTATCTAAAGAAAAATTCGACCAAATTAAATTTAAGGTATAAAATTAATTTTTTTTTAGAATTTTTGCAAAATAGATAAAATAACATAAAGAACTCATGTCATAAGACCTTTTGTCGAACTCGTCCATTACATAAATTGTCCGCGTGCGACAAAATGACGTCTTATGACATTAGTTATTTAATATACTATTGTCGCACGCGGACAATTTATAAAACGACCGACAAAGGAGAGAAAATGACGTTTTATTACATTAGCTCTTTAATATACTATTTATGTACCTAATTTTTTTTTTATAAAAATGTATACCTACCTAGGGTCATCCCACCAAATAAATTTTTTATTGTCTAAATTTATATCTTAAAATGATAATAATAATTTTTTTAAACTTTTTTGTTAATATTTTTAATGTTTTATAAAAAAATACAAACAGTACTGACAGGGGTGACACTTAAAAAAAAAATATTTAGAGGAATGCCCCATATAAATATAAGTATCATTTAAAACTTGTTTGGTTCAAAATAAATAATAGGTAGTAAAATGTAATGTATCGTGGGTTATCAGTACTAAAGACAAAAATTTATACAAAGTCACTCGTTATCTACATTTTTTTTACTAATTAATTCTTAACAAAAATAGAAAGGTTTTTTACAAATACAGAAAATTGAAGGATATTAAAGATGCATTATTTTATTATATAAGAATTACAAATTTACTTGATTTCAGAAAATGATTCTTGTATGAATTTTTTTTTAATAACTATTAAATATAGCAAAGTACAGTGTGTATTAAAACGAATAAATACACTTAAATAAAACAAGTGCCAAACCCCGCCCACTGTGGTAGGGATTGAGAATGTATAGGTTTTATTTTTATCGAGTTCGTTTGTTTTGTTTTAATGCATTTCTGCAAATAAAAACTAAGTATTCTTTAAAATCCATTAAATTCCAGTTAATGGCGAAAATGTAACTACACACATTTCCCTACGACAGTGTCGGAACTACTGCACAAACACAGTAGATCAAACTGCATGCCCTTGTATCTGGCTGCATGCCGCGCTGTTGCCATATGCTATTATTGTTTCCTAAAAGGGTTGTTTTTCTTATTTTTTAATATTAAAAGTAAGAAAATTAACTAAATCAAATTATTTTTGACATATTATTAATTTTTTTGTTATTTTTAAAGTTTCAAACAAATAAAATTGAACTATTTATTAAATAATTATAATCGTTCTCTTCTGATTTAAAATAACCTGGCAACTACGAACCATATTACCAATTACGAATGGCTTGATTTAAACCACGCCCAATTTAAGTTTGTTTCTTTTTCTCTAATCAGAATATAATTTGTCATCCTTGTCTCCAGCCTTACTTACTTGATTCTATACAGTCTGTATAAAAAAAACAGAAAAAACAAAAATTTAACAAATATATCAAGAAATCTAATTTCTAAGTTCTGCTTCGATAGAGACTACATGATCAGAAAAAAATTAATATACATATAATTTTTTTATTATAGCACAACAAAATAGGTTCAGCAACTCATAATTTTTGTATTTTTTAATGTTTTCTATTGGAAATTAATAAGAATGGATATGGATCAGATAGTTGAACAAATTTTAATTATCTATAATTGCTCAAAATGTCTGCCACAAACTTCCATAAAATATACAAATTTTGTTCAAAGCGCCTTCTCACATTTTGTGGTTTAAAAACTCCAGGGGAATTAAATTTGGAGGTCAGGCCGGCCAATCCAGAGCTTCTCTTCCAGGAAATACGCCGTACAACAGATGTTGAAAAGCAAATTGTCATCATTAGCTATTAAGTCATAGTTTCGTAAATGAATCTTGTATGAACGAAATTTATTAGATTTAAGGTCTTTTAAGGAATGTTGTTAAAGTTGGTAAACTTTAGTGGTTTGTTTTTAGTGGGCCACCCTGTATAATTATAACAATAAGCACAAGGAACTAATAGGCACAAGGAAACGTTTTGAGTACCCAGATAATTGATGAACAATTTAACAATTGTAAAAACTAAAAATCTCCTGCTGATCCGAATAGGAGATAATAGAAAGAAAATTATCCGAACCTTATGAAAGAGCGTAGATTGCACGTTTTCGTGATTACCTGAATAATTTTTTCGCTAATGACGAAAATCTCGCGAAGAGAATAAAGGCAAATCTCGACTTGGAATCGTGAACCTACGGCCTATGCATTGTGTATTTGTTTATTTATTTATTTATTTATTTAAACGCTTGCCCATGAAATGAAAAAAGTCGAGAATTATTGTATTAATTTGCCATTGTTGCAAAGAAGGAACAGTTATTTTAAACAGTTGTACCAAGGGCCATTAAAAGTAATCAGGGTATGTTGTATTGTACCGAAGTTAAAGAAAAATTTTAACAATGGTCAAAGTATATCCCAATAATATTACATTTCATTTACATAAAAATAAAATATCAAGTAATTTTCACACCAATACAAAACAGTATTGACAAAAAAATTCTTATTACATAACAAAAAAAATAGGTCGTCGGATCTTATCTTCGTATATTCAAACAAATTTTCCCAGGTAAATACAAGTGAATGGTAAATATAAATACTGCTTCGGTATTGCAAAATAAAAATTCATTGACATTTTTTCTCATTTTTTTTAAATTGTAAAAAACAGATAATTGAAGTTTTAATTCTCATAGGATGTGGCAATAAAACTAGAACACAACAAGAAGTTTGCAATTTATTTAATGCAAAGTATCCAGCTCGACCTATTACTCGTGCTACGGTTAGTAAAATTGAACAAAAATTCAGAGAGACTGTATATGTCAATCATATTCTAAAATCTGGCCGTCCGAGTATTAGTGAAGACACTAAAATTTACATTTTGTTACGTGTGGAAGAAGAAGTCAAGTCAGCCAACGTATTACGTCTTATGAAGAAAATTAGATTAGTGCAGGAACTTAACGAAGATGATCCGGACCGTAGACTACAATTTTGTGAAACTATGATGAATTTATGTAACACTAATTCACACTTTTCTCGTAAAATACTTTTTTCCTACTAAGCTATCTTCTGTTTGAATGGTACAATCAACCATCAACATTGTAGGTACTGGACCAGAGAAAATCATCATTGGGTAGTAGCAAATTCCCAATACCGGCAAAAAGTGAATGTCTGGGCAGGAATGGTGGCGAGAATATTACAGGACAAAAGTTATTGGAACTTTTGAAAAACTCTCTTCTCCCACATTATCAGAAATGTTTTCCAACGAGAATGGAGGTCCAGATTTACCAAGTGAAACCAATTGGTCGATTATTTCTTATGGGGCTACCTTAAATCAAAGATATTCATCAACAGACCACAAAAACTGATACTTCAATCTCGTAGAGGGGCTCTGGATTGGCTGGCAAGATCTCCAGATTTGACTCCATGCGAAAGAGTAAAGCAATTTGCAAGCAATTTCAAGACGCACAACATGAAAAGTCAACATGTGACTTCGACCAATAAATATCCTGATATTTAAACAAAAACATTTCTCCCTTTAGCTATTTATCTAAAATTATTACATTGGTCCATATTTCAAAAGTTCGATTGGAACATCGCATGTTACATAACAACTATACGAGCCATTGACAAATAACTACTAATTTTATTTAGCATTTCAAAATTCCCTATATTATAATCAACCTTGAAAATTATGTATCTTGGTATGGTATATTTTAAAATTGTTAAACCTCCGTTTGTATTCTTTATTACCACACGTGTAAGTGAGTGAGTGCATTGTTTAGATATTGTCGGGTACAGTTTCTTGTTGTTTTTTTTGTTTTTAGTCGCTCCAGTGCCTGAATATCATTATCTATGTAGTTTGTGGTGTTGTATAAAATAAAATTAACGGTAACATGTTTTAAATATAAATATATATATTTTGCTGTATATTGCGTTATAAAATTTTATTCACATATATATATATTAATATTATCTGCGTTTTTTAAGTTTTTCATTATGTTTATGACTATTTATTTATACAGGTATTCCTGAAATGCCTGTACAAATGATACCACATATTTCTTACACCAAAATAATGCTATATATGTAACTAAAATTTGATACTAGGGTTTTTTTCGGAACAGGAAAATTAAATTTCCTTAAAAAACTAATGTATAAAAGAATAAAAAATTATTATTTTTATAACAACCCTTAGGGTTATAAAATCTTTAATAATTACAAATTATTCTTAATAAGCATAAAATCATAAAAACATTTTTAATTAAAAATAAAATAATAAAACCGATTAAAATAAAACCTCAAATCACCACGGAATTTATTTTGATACATTTATAAACCAGTTGCTGAACATAACACTTACCTATGTAAAAACTTTTTTATTTTTTAAAATTGCCTCAGGAAATTCCCCAGGTCCCAAACAAATACTAATAATTTACAACAACACAACCTATTAAATAACAAAATAACAAAAACCAATGTTAAATTTAGCTTTTGATTTTATTACTAAATTGTTGCTCAGCTATAATTATCAAAGACCGGATTTTAGGCCCTTAAAAATTGGAAATTATAGGAAACATAAATAGGCAATACAAAATTACATTTTAGGCCGTTTTAGGCCGAAAGTGTCTAAAATAGGCGATATGAAATAAAAACATATATTGAAATAAACAGGCGACGCTGAACAAAAATATAAACAAATTCAAACAAAAGCACGATACGTTGATTCCAACGGTTGTCAAAGTTGGCTTTTGCCATCTATTGTTTTTATAGAAAAACTATTTACAACCTGTAAATTGTGGCCATTTAATTATGCCATAGATGGCGACAAATTATATTACTAAAAACTTTGGTATACATGCCCCCGAAGTATGATAAAAACTTTAGCTGTTTTCATTGTTTACTTTGTCTGTGGCAGCCGCTAAGGTTAGACGTGTTTTATGAGCTCGGCGATTTTTGTAAGTTAAAAGAAATGGATCAAAGAATTTGTATCCAATTTTGCTTAAAAAATGAAATAAATTCTGTGAAATGTTAACAAAGGCCTATAGTGAGTCTGCTATAGGTAAAACAAGAGTTTACAAGTGGTATAAGAGTTTCCAAGATGGCCGTGAAGACGTTGAAGATGACGAACGCCCCGAACGCACAAGCACATTAACATCCGATAAAAACATGGAAAAAGTGGAAGAAATGGTTATAAACCATCAGAGAAGTCGCTGATGATGTTGGTATATCGATTGGCTCATCCCATGAAATTTTTTCAAATGTTTTGGGTATAAAACGCGTGGCAGCAAAATTTGTTCCAAAATTATTAAATTTTGAACAAAATTTTTGGCCAAAAACAAAACTGTAATGATGCCCCAGCCTCCATATTCGCCAGACATGTCTGACTTTTTCCTATTCCCAAAAATAAAGAGAACCTTAAAGGGCCGTCGTTTTGCAAGCATAGATGACATTAAAATGCATCACTGAAAGAACTAAAGGCTATCTCAAAGATCGAGTTTTAGAAGTGTTTCGAGTATTGGAAGAAGAGCTGGCACATGTGCATAATATCCAATGGGGACTATTTTGAAGGCGACAACATTAATGTAGACGAATAAATAAATATTTGTTTCAAAAAACGAAAATTCCCGATATTTTCTGAACACACCTCGTATATGGAAATTACAGTAAAACCTATGAAAACAAAGTAAATAATAATTTTCAATCATTATTTTACAAAATTAATATCATCCATAATTATTTATAATAAATATTTAGATAGCAAAACACAATTACTTTTTTATTAGGTTTTCACTGGTTTTGTAATTTGTGGTCCTCGTACGAAATAAGAGCATAAAAGCAGGGTCTAATTAAAAATAATTTACTTTTTCGCAATGAAAAATATGTATATTTTTTACTGAAAAATTAAAAGAGCCTATTCTATAGCCTATAGGCTCATAAAAATGTCCTTTTATGACCAAGAAATCAAAATTGCGCTTTATTTTTTTTAAGTTTAGGATTAATTTCAAGGTCCCAGACAAATGCCTAAACTAGAAACAAAAAGGCATTTTGCCAGGCAAAATTTGCCTAAAATCCGGTCCTTGATAATTATTAACACCAAGTAAACACCTTCAAGTGTGTAGACTTATTGCGTGACTATAAACGAATGTTAATCAAACAAGACATTATAACACAAAGTAGTATCTGACGTTTTGTATGATTTCAGCTTGTTTTGCAACCCGAATTGCCGAAGCATTGGCTGTGGTCGTGTCCCTCCTAGACAGTCAGTTGTCTTTCTGCTCGATGCACGTGACGCCGCCAAGAGACGTCAAGCTGCGAAGATCGCACGAGCAAGTGTCCGACATCGAATACATCATTCCCAGGGTGAGAAACGACAATTTGTTTTAATATTTCAATTTCAATATTATTTATGTTAAGGTGTTTTTGCTTATTAGGAATTTTGTAACGTTCCAACAACGCGTCGGGCAGAAAATATACATTTTTTAGTAGAAAATTTACGGATCTACAAAAAAGGTATCTTGTGAAAATTTCATAAAACCAATTGTTTTAAAGTTATAGCCCGTCAAAAATTACCTTCGATTTGACCTATTTAAATTATAATTATAACGAATCTATTTATTTTAAATTAATTAAAAAATATATTATCGACATTGTTGTTGTAAATACAATTTTTGCGGTAATTTTTTTAATATTCTCGATTTTTTTTGTTGCAAAATTGGCTTAATTAATTAACTTAAAGGTTAATTTATATTGGTTATATAACCAATAAGTATAGGTATACTAAAATCGCCATATTGTTTGCTGTTCATTCTAACAAAAGGAAATGCCATTAATTTTAATAATTTGTTTTATTCCAAAAATAAGGTAATTAAAACATAATATTATTTTATGTTTAAAAGTATTTTAAATCAATTTCAAACAAATAAATAATAAATAGGCCAAAAAATTATTTTTCTTTATTTTTTTAAAAGCGCATTTTTGTTATCAAAGTATTACTACTTCATCAGAAAAAAATCTCCCATTGGTTTTTATCTTAGAACTATCTCTAAGGAGCTGTAAGTCATATCTTTAGATATACATAACCGTATTTGGTAAATTATAATTATATATATTTAAAATTTAAACCTGTTAATTATAGTTTAAGTTGACCTTAGTTAAAGATAGTTAAAAAAGGGTAAAATAAACCACATATTACGTTCTTTTGAACCAAAAGGTACATTAACCAAGATGTTAAATTATACTAACTTACCGTTAATTTTACCATAATTGAATTCTTCACTTATTACAAAATAACTTTAATTTAAGGTTGATTTAATGTTGTAGTACAATAATAATTAAATGAATTAATCAGGCATAACGTAAATTTAACGTTAATTTAACCAGATGTGGTACTTGAAAAGATTAATAAATCTTAAAGTGTTTTTAATAAAAAAATATTTCTAATTAATAATCTAATTTAATACACTGAGAAAAATCGTCCTATTAAACAGAGTTCCTAACAAAATTTTAATTAATTTAAAACAAATTTTAATAACACCAAATAAAACGTTTTCTTATTCTAGATAAAACATAATTCCTAAAACATGTTTTTTATTTTTATTAAACTGAACATTTGAAATGGAATATGTTGTTAGTTATTATTATTCAACCTAATACCTGAAATTTAAGTAACTAGAACCTATTAATAAAATCATTAAAATTAAGATGTTTGTTTAATAAAAATATCGATTAATAGATTTAAATAAAGTGTTTAATAGGTTTAAGTAACAGGTTATTAAAATTTAGTGGACCGAAAACATCCGAACCCTTTTTCCGATTTTTGACCACAAACTCGGTCTTTTATTCGCTACTTCTATTTCGCTATCGCCGCGCACAACGTGCTTTTGAGGTTATCTGATTTGCCTTGCTTGCATAGACTAGTCCAACCTGATTAGAAAGAGTGCATATAATAGTAGATATTATAATAATAATAAATGTATTCCATGAAATGTGTGTATTTTTATGGTGGGTGAAGTTTAAATATGTTTTAAAAATTGCTGGAAGATTGAGGGTTGGAAGAGTTTAAGGAAATATTTATTCGTAAGTAAGTTGTTAATAAACCTTATTTTCTTAATATTTTAGATTGAATATACTCAATTAGAATCAACACCAACTGATTCTATAGAAACAACGGTTTCTAACCGCACTTTAACAACATATTCCGATAGTTTAGTATTAAGCCCAGTAGAGAAATTTTCTAGCTTTTTCAATGAAATTACATCGCAGCCATTGATTTAAGAATCTTCACTCTACACTCTTCACGCAACTTCAAAACCAAGCACCTTAAAAACCGACTTGATTAGCTCATATACAACCAAAAAAATCACATTCAAAGGTTTAATTAGGTTAAATTTTTAAAATATTATGTACCTATTATAGTTAGATTAGGGTTTAAAGTATTAATATTTTTTATTTAATGTTTTATATAAATGTTGATATGTTATTATTAACTGGGTCGATTTGCTTAGTTTTTCATGTACCTACCTACCTAATAAATTTTTTATTTTTATTAAATAAACTTTTTTATTAAACCTTAATTAGTTATATAAAATATTCATTAACTAATTGATTAATTGTGGAGCAAACATACAAAAACAGATAAGTCCATTTTTACATTTTAAGAGTAGGTATTCATACTAATTTTGGTAAACTCTTAACTTAGCACAGCTTTTTAAGGAAAAATCGATACAGAGACAACAGGAGCAACATTCCCTTTTAATAGTTTTTAAATATTTGGGGGACTCGGCTGTACACATGTTTGGCCAATATTTAGAATAAGTTAAAATGGATATATTGGCTTTTGCATGTTTGCTCCATAATTATCCTTGGTAAATATGAATTAATAGGCGTAAGTATTTAGTTAATAGAAATAACAAACAAGTTTATTTAACCCCCATATAGGTTTAATTATTTTAATTAAGCTATACCTTTAATATTAAATAAACTGCTTAATTATTCCAAGTAAAAAAAATAATAAAAATTACCATAGATTTGACAAACAAGTTTATTTAAACCCAATAACAGTTTAATTATTTTAATTAAGCTAAAGTATTAATACTAATAAAATATTTAATAAATTTAAGTGTCTTGTTTAATAAATCTAAGGTTTTATGCTTAATAAATGGTATTAAGTATTTTTCTAAAAACGTATATAATAAGTTTAATAAAAACAATTAAACGTTTCAGGAATATTTTTATTCCTAAATGTATTAAACGGTTTAATTGTCCCATATGGTATTAAAATTCTTATTTAAATGAATTAAAATTTTAATTAATTTAATTATTTCTTTCTCTCAGTGTACAAAAATATAAGTTGCAACTTTTCCCACGTTTGTAGAAAAATTGTTAAAGTTAAAAAAACGAAAAATTGCGAGATTCCCTTGCTTGTAGAAAAAATATTATTCCTAGCACTTGAAGGAAAACTAACTAACTATTTAATCAAATCTAATATTAGAAATGCAAAAATTAATTTCCTAATTTTGAAATTTGTTCACAAAATTATTCCGTATGGTTTTTTGAATCATTTTATATTTTACATTTTTACTTTTATTTTATGTTCTTAGCTTAATTTTTAAATAAATTTTAGTTTTGTTTTTGGAACCAAATATCAATTTGTTTATTAAAAAAGTACCACTTTTAACATGTTAAATGTGTACTTTTTTATTGTTTTATATATATTTTTAGGGTTCTTTTTTGATATTTTTTTAAATAGAGTTTTATTTAAGTATATTTTTTGTCTTTTTCTTCTTTTTTGTAAAAATTAATATACAGGGTTTTACTTAAGTATGTAAATTACGAATCTTTGAGTGAGTAAATTGGTTTCTTAAATATCCCTTACTTTTTTTTTTTTTTTGGCAGTGATATTTGTAGCATTGAGGAGCTCTAACTTGATTAGATTTATTAAGTGTAGTGGCGTCCCAAGCAAAATATTTTTGACAAAAATATGTACGAAGCAGACTTTTTTGTTATTTTTATATCGCTGTGGCTCCCGTCCCGAGGCGGGACTTAAGTTCAGTCCCGATTGACGTCATAATTTTAAGATTTGTTATGTTATAATAAAATAATAATAATAAATTGTACCTGTATACATGTTAAGGGCACTTTAGTTACGTCATAAAACCAAACCAACCCAAACTCAAAAACACAACCCAACCGACCCCGCCCCATTGGGCCCCCCCCGCCCCATTGAGCAAAAAACCCAACTAAAATGGGCAAATTTATGTTACGATAAAAATAAAACACTTTTTAACAAAGAAACAACAAATTTATAAAATAAAAAAATAAAAAAAGTTTGACAACTTCTAGTGGGATCGAACCCGGTACCTCTCGCATGCCAAGCGACCGCCCTACCATCTAAGCCATCGAGCTTGACACAAATTATAAAATCTCGGGGAATAAAAACCGATTTACAGTGTGTGACGTCAATCGGGACTGAACTTAAGTCCCGCCTCGGGACGGGAGCCACATCGTTTTTATATATATTTTTTTGAATTAATAAATGTCTCCAGAATTGTGTTCGTATCTAGCTTAGTTTTCGATAAAATAAATAAAATAAAATTATTTGCATTTCCGGAATTCCATTGACCACACAATTGTATCTTAAGATATGCAATTAAATGGATTTTTTTGTATTTTTGGTTGCTTGATCCGAAAAAAAAAGTATATAAAAATTCAAAAATCTCAGAGGCGTACAAGTTGCTGCTCACTGGACTTACTAGTTTAATTTAAATTAGCCCCTTAACACTACAAACAACACTGGCAAATTTCAACAGAATTCGGTAAAGGATATTTTAAATATTTACCAAAAAACAATACAAAAATTTAACACCCTGTATCTTGAAAACGAAGCATTTGCGTACCCATGTTTATATAAACTTTTTGTCTTAAAATCACTTAAAGAATCGTCATTTAAATTTTGATTTTTTTTAATTCGACTATAATTTAAAAAAAATAAGGTATGGTATTTTTCAAAAATGACTTTGATTTTTAATATTTCTAGACGATATTTGAGGAGCATCCGTGCAAAACCGGCTAAATCCATTTTATTCAGTTTTTATTTCGCATCTTTGGGTTCATTTCCATCGACAACCATAATAATTCTGTTTAAATCCGACTTTATCCATGTTAAAATCACATTTAAATGGTAGCTTTAGGAGCAAAACCGGCCAAATCCACGTTTTTATAGCAAACCCGGCTATATCCAATAAATAATAATATGTGGCTTGGATATGTCGATACTACTACTAAAATTTGTTCTGTTTTTCATGTTTGCACTAAATTTATTTTGTTAATATTTTTGAATAATAAAGGTTTTTTTTCACATTTTATTCGTTTTTTATTCGGTATTCGAGCAAAACCGGCTATATCCAAAACATTTTTTGAAATTTTGGCCTTAATATAAAGTTTTTGAAAACGAAAGTATGTCTTATAAATCAAGTACCACAAAGCCCACAAAACTCAAGTTTGCTTTTTCTTTTATCTGTAAAGGCCGGGAAACCGAGAGTTTTTGCCATTTTCCCAACATTTTATTAAAGTGGATATAGCCGGTTTTGCACGGATGCTCCCCATTTAAAGAAGATTACAAATTATTTTAAAATAAGGTTAATTTTGCTTTAGGCCAACTAAAATAAATTTTATAAAGGTGTGGTACTTTCTAAAAATGTCTTTGATTTTTAATAATTTTTTTTTTTAAGATTTAAAAAAATTACTAAAGTCAATTTTGCTTTAGGCCAACTAGACTTAACTAGAAACTATGTCCCAAGTAACATTTTTAGTTTTATTGTGGTCTTCAAAGTTTTATTATGGTCTTCAAGAAAGCTTTACAACAAAATTTTGTTTTAAAACGTTCTTGAAGACCATAATAAAACTAAAAATGACACTTGGGGTAACAACCACGTAACCAATTTAATATCACGCTAAATGCTAAAAACGATCTGTCTGTTGCAGCCAAAGTCTTCCAAACCGCACACCGTCTACGACGCGTACGCGCGCAGCTGGGTCTTCGACGCGGAAAACGCGGGAACGTCGACCAACCCGAAAGCCCACCAAAATGGCGCCACCCCAAAATCCATCGTCAAAGACAAACCCAACGGCGTCGTCAAGGACACGACGCACCTCATCGACAACCCCGTAGTGCAGATCGAGGAGGCCTCGGACGACAGCAACAGCAACAGCGACCGGAAGTTGGGCCACATGAAGAGCTTCTCCAGATCCGCCTCTCCCGTGATGAGCTCCTCGCAAGTCAGCCTCAACTCCAACCCGCACCCGCAGATCTTCGAGTGCCTGGAGAAGCTCACCGAGCCAACTATATACAGAAGCAGGCTGAACACCGCTGTGAGCAGCAAGAGCGACGAGGAACCGCACTACCACACGCCCCAGGCGGTGATGGTGCGACGCGTGGAATCCATCAGTCCCCGTACGGAGAAAGTGCAGTACGCGTCGCTCATGAAAGAGCTGCAGCGGCGAATCAAGAAGGACCCGCCCAGCGTTGTCACGTCGCCGAGTACTAGTGCCAGCGATTCCGCCGGAAAAAACAGCGATGCCGAGTTCAGCAAAGAGTTGGAGGCCGCCCTTCAGCTGATACAGGATTTGGAAAGCCCCAACACCGTAGATACCCCTTCGGAAACGAAGGATGCCACACCTCTGGCGGTGTGGAGAAACAGTGACGCTAGTGAGAGTGACAAGACGCTTAGTGCTGTGGGATCGCTGGCGGAGCTAACGTCGCCACTGGCGGAGTGTCAGCCTGCAGTGAAGGGTAAGGGCGCCAGTGTTGTAGTCCATTACCCCGATTCCCAAAGCACGTCGGGATACAGCTCGCCGACGCACCATCAAGGTCCCAACTGGTCGACGACGTCCTCGATCAACGGTAGTCACAACGAAATCGTAAAACCCATCTCATACTCGATCCATAACGCCAAATCCACCACAGTCATATCGCTGTACACCCAACCCAACCCGCAGTCCAAAGGTAAATCGGTCACTCTAGTCACCATCAGTGGCGATAACCATCCAATCATCGATAACAAAACCGCTATTCACAACTCCACCTTCATCGAGAATCCCTCCGTTAACCTCACCGACACTAACCCCGCGGCAAAGCCCGATGACCTATCGCCCATCAAAAATCAGACGGGCGTGGTGTGGAACGTGAGATCTCTGCTGCGCAAGAAAAAGTCCGTTCCGCCGAGACTGTGCGCTGAGCTCGAGGGCGCAATCATTAAATCGGAGAGCTTAGCGTATCTGAACGAGCACGAGTTGCTCGCCAGGCACCAGCGCAACAAGCGAATCCAAAGGGTAAGATTTGCACACAACAAATTAAACACGCTGAAGCTCTGGTGCTGGGTACGAATTTTCGGGTGCTACCACTACTATTTTACTAACAATCTTCTGCATCCATTTTTTACTACTCCTTTCCTCTTATCCATTCAATCATCTGATCTAAGTGATCTAAGGGTTAAAATGTGTTTCGTCCTACAAGAATTTCCTTGTTTAACAGAACCACTTTTTAAATAAGTAAAAAACATGGACAGAATATAAATCAGGGATTATTTTTTGTTTTTCACCAAAACTCCAAAATGTTGTTTAAAACATCGAAAAAAAATCCCTTAAAGTTTGAGCCCTTAATTTTGATTTAAAGTACTATGCTCCACACCTCAAAGTCCCACCACGTGACCACGTACGGAACGCAGTCTTTTGAAAATTTGACATTTAAGGCTTTTCAGGTTATGTATCTGTCAAAGTATAGTCAATGAAAGAAATAATATTTATAGTGTTACCGCTTATGTTTAAGCGTTAAAAGTTTGAGGTGTGGAGAATAGTACATTTTGAATTTTTCCTATTTAAAATCACTTTATTTATTTAACGCTTTTTAAAAGAGAAAAGAAAAATTTGTCTCCAACTTGAAATATTAACAGAAAGGCTGGTCTTACCGAAAAATGTAAAAGAAAAAAGTCCCTACCTTTATATGCAAAGTTTACAGGATATGAGTAGTTTAATATTTAAAAGTTTGAAAAATTTGTGTTTCTTGAGATTAATTTATCATAAATTCAATTCCATGACTTAAATATCTTGTAAACTGTGCTCTTTAGCGATATAAACATAAAAACTTTTTTGTGGAAAATTAAATTTTCTACAACTTTTTCCTTTAAAATTTTTTAGTAAGACTTAATATTTTCAAAAATATGTGAAAAAAGTAAAAAAATGACTGATACCATCAAGGTAAATCGAGTTAGAAAAAAATTCTTATAGGCACTTTTAAAAAACTTTAAATACTTTGTAAGCAACAATGAACCACAATATGATAACTTAAAACCCGGCAAAGATATAAAAATTTAAAATAAATACAAACATTTTACCACAATTAATATCTTTAGACCTGTATAGGTAGGTTACCGAAGTCATATTTGTAATAAAATCTATTTTTGCATTTTACAACAAAACGGTTTAAGTTACAGGTAAAAAGTTAAAAAGATGTTTATAGTAAATTCAATTTCCCATAAAAAGGTCCTTCACAATAATGCTATAAAATGTATAATTTAAAAGATATAGAGCATTTAATAAATTTTTGTGTAAAATATTGTAAATTAATTAGTTCTATGTTGTTTCACGGCAAAACGGTAAAAGTTATTTAAATAACTTTTATAAAAAAAAAAATTTTCCTATTTTACTGTCAAATATTGAAAAACTATTAATTTCTATGTTGTTTTACGGCACAACAGTTAAAGGTACAGGTACAATGTTAAAAATACTTTTATAGGAAATTTAATTTTCTACAAAAATTGTTTTATGTATTCATGCATTAAAATGTATGGTTTAGAAGTTTAACAAATTTCAACTATTAGAATGATCGAAATTTGACAGTTAAATTTATTAAATGCTCTATAACTTTTAATCTATGCATTTTATTGGACAAATGCATTAAAAATTTTTTATAAGAAATTAAATTTACAATAAAAATATTTTTGCCGTAAAAGGCAATAAATACTGTTTTTTTATTAAAAATATGACTTTGAGACGTATACAGGACAAAAATATAGGTTGTATTAAAATTGTTGCAAGTAGTTTTAAAGAGCATCTAATTATGTACTTAGGAGTAAAATTAAGGGCTAAAACTTGAAGGGCATTTTTTATCGATATCAATATCGTTTATCAATATATAAGATATGTTTTTAGACCATCATCCACTTTTTAATACAAGGGATTTTATTTTTTTCTTTTATACAAATAAATTTTCCACAAATACGATAATCCAGAAATTGATTTTAATAGTTTAATTTCAAGATACTGTCTTTATTGGTTGGTATTAATAAAAAAGGTATTGGTTCTTAATTCACAGATGTGCATGCTTTCACAATATATTTATTAACTTTTTTGGGACTAAACGACAAAATTTTTATTTTATTCTAGTTGTACTGGTTAAGGGAACTAATCAATTAAACAGGCAATACTAATACATTTTTTTAATATTTTTAGGAAATAGAGGAAAAGGTGATACAACAGCTGGGTGTGCCAAGGACTGAATCTTAGTTAAATAAAGAGGAGTTTTAAACATTTAAAAAATTAAGAATTAAAAATACCTAAATGTTAGCAGCCTTCGTCCATATTTCACTTTGCTGTTTTTGATGAATAAAGTTGTCTATTTTTTCGCCCTGTATAATTCTTTATGTACATACATAACTGTTATTATATAGTTATATAGTTTATATTATAGTTCTATTGTATATATTTAAATTCCCTATCCTTTTATAGATTAAACATTCCATGAACAGATAAGTTTTTTATTATAATATAAATCCATCTAAAAGACAATAAAATAAAAACCGCGTACACACAAAAGATGTGGCCATTTAAACTTATGGAAAGTGTTTTTTTAAGAAATTTAATTTTTCCGTGGATATTTGCAAAAATGGTGAATGCTCCGGGATTAATTCTAATAAAATACGTTTTTACCATAATGGCTAGATTTTTTCTCGCAATATGCACCCTTTCTGTCAAACTTATACAATAGACTATAAATTACTCCAATTTCTTGCAATGTTTTGTGGTTATATTCGCTTGTAAAGTAAAAAATATTTTAAGTAAAAATCCCATGCATCCATCGGTTTAATGTACGATTTGGGTCAACGGTCTTGTTCTGTACGTAGACTCATGGGTTCGGCATTTTGGGTAGGTGACGGTCGTTGAGCAAGCAACAATTAAGCGAGATAATGTTTTTTTTAACGGTTTGTCAATTACCATAAAATACATACTCTTAAGTATAATAGTATTTTATTCAAAGTGTATGTAATGTAAAATAAATAATATCCATACATGAAAGTATATAAAGTTAATTTTTTTATCTGGCCTGCGGCAACGTTGTCAATTTTGGGGTTTGGTTGATAAACACGGAACCAAAATTGGTTGCATTGATTAAAACAAACTAAACTACTTATAAATGTAATTGTGTTCTCTTTAAATTGAGTTGTCAAAATTCGTAGTTAAAAATGCAATTAAATTGCTTTGGTGGTGCGTAGATGAGTAAAATCATATAAAAAGTAGTTAAATATAGGTGACTACGGCCCAGGAGAGACAAAGTATTCGTAGCGGATAATAATCTACGCTTTGAAAAGAATTTATACCTATAAAAGAAATTAAAATTTATGTGAACACACGTGACTGTTGTCCAATCATTGAACTTCAATGGTGAATGGGTATTTCGTTAAAGCCACTGGACGTTAATACTTGTAGAGGCTTAATAATAATTATAATGTATAAATTCTCCAAGAAAGAAACATTTTCTTTTTCAAACCAAATGGATGCTATTTTCAAAGACAGGAAAATTAACTACTAGATTTTTCACAAAAAGGTTGAACCTAACAGCAAATCATTTTTATTTTTTGTTTTTTTATTTGCTTAGCTGAAAATAAAATGATTTAATATTTGTAAAACCAAAAACGTTACTTTTTTTTCTCCAAAAAAAGGTACAAATTTTATTTTTTAATTAAAAAAACTAAAAGGGCATTCATGAGCCGCGGGACTTTTTGCCCTGACCGTCACATAAAAAAAATTGTAGTTTTTTCAATTTAAAATTTTGTTATCATATACCTTTTAGTCCTTTAATGCGATATAAAAATTATTGTAATCTCGAATATCTCGGAAACGGTTTATTTTATTGAAGTTTGAGAGGTACACCTTTTTAATAGCCAAACTGAGTAATCGAAAAATTGCATCAAATGGTATAAAAACCTAACCTCAAAGTTTGTATGGGACAATTAGCTTAAGAAACCCCTGTTTCTACGACACGAACAATTGTAATTATGTGTGAATATGTGTTTTGGTAGTAGGTAAGTGACTGTACGCAAAATATCACCTTTCCAAGTCTACCATATGGTAGAAGTTATATTAAAAAACTCATAAGTAACACTTTATCACCCTGTATCTTTTAAAAATACGTAATTAGGATAAATATTTATTTAGATTTTCGTCTTTCGTCCAAATTAAAAAAATTAACTGTACTTTTTGTAACAATATTTTTTATTATAATATAGTGGTAGCTGGTTGTATCTGACGCACGATATAAAATGCAGTTTGTTCTTAACTAGTAGTAGCCGTGCTCTACTCGCAAGGTCGCAAACCGATGACACCAGTACAGTTACCCATGCTAAATAATACGTGGTTCTATAGAAATCAAAGTAGTCGGTTGGTATAGAATATATTTTGTTAACTGTTGTTATATATTTATTTTTAAGGACGAGACAAATTGTCGCCTGACAACTTTTGTTTAAACTTATTTATGTTATAAAATAATAAAATGTTTTTTTATCTAAACGAACCTTATAACTGTTACAGTTTTTTAATAAATCAAATTTCTGATTTTCCCTTTTTGTAGTACTACGCCTATTTTTTTAATCACACACACACACCTGTAAAAAAGTGTTACCTAAAGTTAAGTTTAAAATACTAGAACTCCAAATTTAAAAATAAACTAAACGTTGAAAATTGTTCTTTTTTTGATATTAAATGTGAAAAAAAAATTAAAAAAAAATTTCATTTCAGAAATTATTATTAATTAATCATTAATGTGAAATTTAACATTATTATTATCCAATTTCTAAATTATTTTAATCTTAAGTTACATTTTAAAAGATTTTTTGATTTCTCAATTGTCTAATATTTTTTCTACTCCCACCTTTAAAACGCCCATTATCGTACATGTTTACTACACATTGACAAGTTGTGGCTTTATGGCATTTTAGTCACGGGCTAAAGTTAGCAACAGGTTTTTAGTCACGGGCTGAAGTTAGTTTTGATTTTGCCGGCAGTAAACTAGGTTTAACTAAAAACATTAAAAATTTCGGGTGGAGACTCCACCGTGAAGTGCTATAAAACATTCTCTTCACTTTTACTGTTAAAAACTGCTTCTAAATTATCATTTAAAAGGTTGTTTATTCATTTTCAAAGGATAAATTTTGATTTACACATACAAATTTGCTGCTTCGGTTTTAATGAGTAAATATAATCGATTATTAATCATACCACGAGTTATATTTAGTGAGAAAATATAATGAATTTTAGGATATAAAGAATTGTCAGTTTGACATTTGAAATTAAAATGTGCTTTAAAATATAAAAAGACTTTAATAAACCTTATTTATTCAAACTTAACTTAATTTCATTATCGTTTATACAAACCCATCGATCTTTTAGAGTTTATAATTCATTATTTTAATCATATAATAAACATAGGATTTAAATGTCAACAAATGTCAAATCAAGAAAAGTGTCAAAGTGTCAAGTGATAAAAAATATTGTCGCTGTGATAAAATGCGTAACTATGGAATACTGGCATTTTATTGGTTCTAATATTAATGAATTGTATTGTCACCGAAAAAAAAAAATCGCCCTATAACACATTTTTAGCATCCCTTACAACCACCATTCCTTCACACCTCCCCACGATGCGTATTGCCAATAGCAAATTCCCCAAACACGCCAACGCATTTCTAATCCATAAAGGAATTCTTAATAATCCAACATTACCACACCGTCCGATAATTAAACGCGCTTACGTGCTCGCCTAACCGCAATCTCCAATCTCTCAACTATCGCAGATACCTGGGCTCTTTCTCTACCTGGCCCGGCCAATCAGCGCCCGCCTCAGTGTTGCCAGGTGAAGCAAAACAAAAAGTGGTACCAACTTCTTGATTTAATGGTATTTAATGGTACACATAAGTTCTCCATTTAATGGTATTTAATGGTACATTGTTTTTAAAAGTCCAAATTTTACATTTATTTAAAGGTAAAATGTGGTTATTATAAATTTAACCAAATCAAAGTTTGTGATTTTAATTAATTTTGCAAACAAGTCAAACAATATCGTATGGTAACCATAAACAAGAATAAGACACATATTTAACTAATTAGTTAAATTTATTTATTAAAAAACAAAATATTAAGAATCCTAAAAAATATTAAATATAAAAATAAAAACATCTCAAAAACATAAAAAAAATCTTCTGTAAAATAAAACTAAGAAAATATAAAAACATATAAATTATTTATCACTCACTCTCACTACCCAAGATAACTGAAAAAACAGTCTTGTTCACTCTTTTCAATTACAGATGCATCTGGTTTTGAATATTTATCACTCACTCTCACTATCCGAGATAACTGAAAAACAGTCTTGTTTACTCTTTTCAATTACAGATGCATCTGGTTTTGAATAAAGGATATTCGTTGTCATTTTATCGACCAATGATTTTTTAATCTTACCTTTAAAATCTGCGTTATTTTCCCATGCTTTCCTGTAATTTTGAACCCGTTTATGAGTTCTCTTTGCTTTTTCAGGTTTATTTTTCTCATCATCAGTGTTATAATCTTCATCAGTTGAAGCAGTTGTCTGCTCATCACTATCCATTTTTAAACAACTTGGCAATCAACAAAAATTCAACAGTTGAATTCTAAACAATTTAAAACTTTTTGGTTTTGGCATTTGACATTTCTCAGAAATTTAGGGAATTACAGAACAACATTTATTTATTGGTTGCGCAGCTTGTGCCCATCCCTGTTTTGATATCACAAACATTTAATAGATGGCGCAGAAAAATGTAATTTGTTTACCAATAGGTAGGCAAGAAAATTACATTTTTTACCAAATATACCTACTAATAAAGAAGAATTAAATTGTACAAAAACAATTCTGTCTAAAATAATGGTATATAATGGTACAAAATCGTTAAAAATGGTACATAAATTGACGATGGTACGAAGTACAAAAAAATGGTATAAATACCATTATAATGGTACGACTGGCAACACTGGCCCGCCTTCGCTCGAACGCGACGCAGCATCAAGCGAGCGGGTTCAGTGCGGTGCGGTCAGCGGCGAGGTGCGCAGTCTTAGTTAAGTTAAGTTAAGTAAATGACATCGTCTACTTTGGACGGGCTGCCCAAACAGTTCGTGGTCGCGATGAGGACTCTATTCGACATCATGGACGATAAAAAAACGGGCTTCGTGAATTTTGCAGAGATCGAGAACAGGTGGCAGGACGACGGGTCCAAGGGTCTCCCCAAGGGGGTTATAGAGAGTCTGAGGAAGGTTACTCCGCCGAACGGTATGCTATCCTTCGAGAGGTTCTGCGCCGGGTTGAAGATATGCTTGCTGAGGAACCAAGTGGAGAGAAAACCGCATCCGGAGGCGAACGTGAAACCCAACAGGCCTCCGTCGGCCCCCTTGTTGGACATAGACGGCCCCCCCAAGCAGTCCTGGTCGAACACGGCGGCCATACGCCCGAACAACGTCATCTCCCAGACGCAGAGGACTCTCAGCATGCCCCAGTTGCTGCCCAAGGAAGCGATGCAAAGCGAAGGCGTGGAAGTTCATGCGTACGACAAACCGGTCCCGAACATAAACAAACCCACGCTGTACGGCCCCCCCAAGCCCCCCCGCACCGCCCTCGGGGTCGCGAACGGCGGTAACATGGACAGAGCCGAGATTCGGACGGCCTTGCAGAACTGGCAGATGGGGTTGCTCATGAACGACCAGGAGAACAAGCCCAAGGCGCAGCAGTACACGGGGCTGCTGCGGACCAGCAGGAGCATGGGGGACGGGAAGGCCAGCCAAACGGAGGTGCAAGCCAACATGCAGTTGTACCAGAAAAAGGCGAATGTTCGGAGGAGAGAGCCGAGAAGACACACGTTGCAGAACGGGATAGATTACAACATGCTGAAGAGAATGAAGCAGATAGAACAGGAGAAGGATGTGCTGATGCAGGGTCTAGGTGCGGTAGACAAGGCTAGAGAGTGGTACTTGAAGCAGGTCGCTGCTGTTCAGGAGAAAATGAAGTACCTTGGACGTATGGGACATGTCGTAAGTGTGCTTCTTAATGCTTTGTTATTGTTAGGATTTTATGACAATGTGTCCGCAGAATGTTTAAGAATTACCTAATTCAAAAGCTCCTTTGAAAATTAAATAATAAAAAAACAGTTACTGTATACACTCATTAGAGTGCTTATTAAGTAAAAACTCAATTACCCAGTTACTTACTGCATTCATTGGGCATGTAAAAATGTTGTTTGTTAGTCAATTACCAAATCTATGGAAATAAGAATATTACCCCATCATTAATACGAGTGAATACTGTATACAAATTCTTCTAATTAAAATTGCCAATTGAAGCAAAATAATCTCTTGAATTTTACAAAGTTAATCTATCTGCAGTCATTTGCATCTTAATAGCCACTTATCTAACTATTTAGATCTCTATTAACACGAGTTTATGCGTATGAAGGAAGTGAAAAAGTTAAATAAGCCAGCAGGATAAGAATTTAATTGATCCTCTTTCGAGAATGTAAATTTCTTAATGCAAAATTATGTTAAAGAACTTGCTCATAAAATGTATTATACTTGGAATTTACCTGTTTTAAATAACAAGGTACAGTTATGTAGCATTAAATAAAATAATAAATTAAAATAATTATTTACAATTTGGGTTTGTCAAGCTTTGTTGTTGGTAAATATCGAAATAATAGTTAGCCTTGGGTTTATATGTGTATATTCTGAAGTTGTGGTCGTAAAGAGTGAGCAAAAACATTAATAGAAATGGAATTGGAAATCAAAACCAGTTTTCTCGCATTAACATGATTTAAATGGCGAGGAGAAGAAAGAGACAATAGAGTGTGAGACCTATGAGAACAACGACATCAGAAGTGGGTCAGTAGTTTAGTTTTGACGAACGAGGATACAAACAAGAATTAAATAAACCGTTGAATAAGAGTTTTATACATTTTTCTACTCCTACATTTTAAATCGTACATGTTTCCATGACAATAAGTAACCTTTTAAATACACATTGACAAGTTGTGGCTTTATGGCGTTTTAGTCACGGGCTGAAGTTAGCTTTAAGTTATTTATTTGTCAAATGTCATACAATCGTTAAAATAAAGTGCCTTTCTTGTAAAATAATACTAAATGTGAAAATTGTCTTATTATCTCAATACATAAATACAAAAGTATTAAATAGTTTCTTGACGCCAATATTTCTAACCTTTTGATTTCGCCGTAGTAGTGCAGTTAACTAGATTTATCTGATAAATATTCTCGTCTATTTTACTGTGAAAAAGTGCTTGTTAGTCTGTTTTCAAGGGATAAATTACACAGAAAAATTTGAGATTTTAACGCCGATTGTCAGAGACGGTGACATTGACATTATAAAGTTATAAAGTGCTCTTTTAGTTCCACCCTTACATCCAAACTAAGATGTCCCATAAGCCAACTGAATGGCTTGTGCGGGTTAGGGGTAGGAACGGACCGACGGCTTAAAGTCCCCTCCGAAGGACTATCAAATACAAAATAAAAGACAATCCAACCCACACTACTACAAATAAAAATTAACCAGTTTTTTACATTTTTTGTAATATCTCTGTAAATAATTATTTTAGGTGTTGAAAAAAAAATTAACCCAATTTTAGTATTTCTAGAATTTTACGTAGAATTTAAAAATACAATAATATTTATATGGGTCCATTTGAAAAACCAAAGTTGATATAATAATTGCTATACATATTTCAAATCGGTATCTTCTTCTGTCCTCCATAAACTTCTAATGAATAAGTTAGGTGAATCACCCTGTATATGGAATTTTTGGAAAGTTGTCAAATGTCATAAAATCTTCAAGATAAAGTGCCATATTTTATTATCTTCTCTCTAAAAATGAATTAGTCAAAAATTACTAATTTAATAGTTATTAGTGGCTGCTTTTTCAACCATGGTACAATGGTTAGCCATGGAATACCATGGTATCCCAAAATTTAACAGCCAATTCTTATGTAAAATTGTCCCCTGAATCCGAAAATACAAAAATTATGAAATTGGAGCAGTTTTTAAGATATAGTCAATTCCATATTAAATGGAAAATTGACTATATCTCAAAAACTGTTCTACTTTCTTTTAACTTTTGACGACATTTTCGGATTCAGGGGATAATTTTACATAAGAATTGGCTGTTAAAATTTGGGATACCATGGTATTCCATAGTTAACCATGGTGCAAGTGAAAAAGCATCCACTAATAACTATTAAATTAGTATTTTTTGGCTAATTTATTTTTAGAGAGTTAATACAAAAATATAAAATTCTAAATTTTGACTTCACCGGCCGATAAAAAACATTTCGTTCATGTTCAAGGGAGAAATTGAAATTTGTACAGAAGAATTTGAACACCAACATTTTAAAAGACTGTAAAACAGATTCCTTACATTAATTTGGTTACTCTATTTTTATATGTAGATTTCGCTCTAAATAAATCTTTAACTCATTTTATTAAATACTCGTCTGCAAGCTTCGCTCGTGCCTAATGACATTATTATTAATATTATTATAATAATCCACTGTGGAACATTTTCGGAAAAAAATTAAGATGATGGGGTTCTGCAAGTATTTTCGGTTTCTACAATCAAAATCATAAATTATAGCGTTTACAGAATGTTTATATTGATTCTGGTTTTTTTAATATCAATTTAAAGTTTTAGTAATTCTGGATCTCGAAATATCGTTAAATAATAAATAAATAGTACATAAAAGATAATTATTGGTTTTGTATATTGTTTTATAAAGTAATAACAATCAAATAAAGAAAAAAATAATTAATTAAAAAAATAATGAGAACAATAAATTGTAATTTTTAAAAAAAATAGAACCTTCTTTTGGATTTAATATGTTGTAGTGCAATTTCTTAGTTCTTTCGCTTCTACCATAATAATAATTATGGTATTATTATTATTATTATATTAATTATTAAAATATATTCTTTTTAACAAATAGTATGAATCAACATAAAAGATATAACAAAATTTATTTATAATTTTATGCCAAAATTTCCATTGCCATAGACCAACAAAAATCTGCCAACATCGAATCAAACCTCTTTCCTCTATAACGATTTTCCATTTCTATTATTGTTTGATGCTCTTCTGATTCAGTGGACAGCTGATTTTCGAACAGGTCAAAATGTGCATGGAGCAAATGTACTTTTAGTGACATGTTTACACTCATTTTTAATTTTTGTTTTATTTTTTATTATTTCTTTTTAATTTATTGTTATGACAACAATTTCCTACCAGTTAATTGGTTTAAATTAATAAATAACAGTTTTTCGGGGTCCAAAATTAATATAACTTAAAATCAATATTAAAAAAAACCGGAATCAATCTAAACATTCTGTAAACGCAAAAAGGCATTCTTTGGATAGGAGAAACGAAAACCACTTTCAGAACCCCATCATTTTTTTTGCTGTTGCACTGTGGATAATTATCCGATATACCTAACTACACTGTTCAAAATTTTATGACCATTTTAACACCAAATTAACACCATACATGGCCTATATCGATACAAACCAAAATGGTGTTAAATATGGTTCGTTGGTCCAGTGTAAATTCAAATACTAAAATGGTGTAAATTTAACTTTCACAAAGTATTAAAATAAATTTTACTTGGTGTAAATTGAACTCCTTTTCAGTGTTAAATATAATGTGTTTTTGGTCAAATTAAATCATACTACCCAGAAAAAAAAGAAAAAAAAGAAAACACGAAGTTCCTTGACGCATTACAAGTATATTACCAGTGGTATTATTCCAGAAAATTGAACCTTCAACTCGCTAGAGATAATGTTTTTAGTGCGTTCTACCAACTTAAAATACTTCAAATATTGACAGCTGTTTCCACCTATTTAAGGTCTCTTTAGTATCGAACAACTTGTAGTGTCACACCAAAGCAAAGGACTACCTGAGCGTATATACTCTCCATGTAAGTCAACAGAGGCGAGATTTAAGAACATCACGTGATCCACACCGCCTTTGCCGCGATCGGTACACACTATGCAACAAGGAATGCACGGCAAATTATTTTAATCGTTTTAACAGAGTGCTTTAGGTTGAAGTAACTCTTATTTTACAAACAACATATTTAGTAAACTGAACCATACAGCGGGTTCGTTTCACTAAAGTTTTCTGGGTTAATTTAACCAATTTAAAAAAAATAAAATAACTATCTGGTTTAGTACCGTCAAACTAAATTAATATAGTTAAATGAACTATTCCTTTTTTTCTGTGTAGGTACACTTCTTTTTAGATAAACACCGTTTTGGTGTTTGCTGTATAAAACATTTTATATTAACACCACTTGGTGTTGGATTTTGACACCATTTTTTTAATATTACCCTTCACACCACAGATATTTTGAACAGTGTACAAAAAAATGCAATATTTTTATTTTAAAAATCGTATACTCTAAAACTCGACTTGACATTCTAGGAGCCGTGGTCTGAGGCGCAGCAAGAGAAGCTGGAACTTCAAAGGGCGCGCGTCTTCGAAGTGAACCGCCACCTGGCCGCCCTCACCGAGAGCTGGGAAAGGGGCGGCCTGCCGCTGCACATGAACCTCGCAGTGCATCACTATCCGCCCCACCATCATCCGCAAGATCTCGCAGACCGGCTCAAGCAACAAAACCGTCTACTCACCGAGGTAAATACTGCTAGGATTAGCTTTATTGCTGGTGTTATAAAGAATTGTGCTCATCTGGTGCTATAAAATATAATGAGGATTTGTATAATTTATTTACACCATATCACGGTGGGTTGGAATGCTACTTTTCTGGTCAAAACCAATTTGTGACCTTAATAATTGACCTAAAAAGCCTTGTTTTTTTCATTCAGAAATAAATGTTCTAAACAAGTATTTTATGGTTTTTTCGTAAACCTATTTATTCAAAAGATATTTTAGGTCAATGTTTAAAAAGTTTTGAGCAAAATACATTTTTTTTGTTTACGAGTTTTGTTTAATATCCCGTGTGCTCTGGTAATTAGGATATCAAGCTCTAAATATGACAAGGTTTTTTTGAAACTTTTCCCCTAAATAATTCATTGGTATAAATGTTGTAATGTAATTACTTATATGACAAATAAATGTTTTAAATGTCTCATCCAAGCGGCTAGGATACCGAAATACCTTTTAAAAAATGAATATTTTGTAATAAAATTTCAGAAAAAAATGTGAAATAGTTTAAAGCATACTTTAATTAAAAAGAAAGAACACAAATTTTCAAAAATCGAAGTAAAATTAATATTTTTTACGGTACCTATAGGTACTATAGTTATTAGAAAAAGGTAAAATATTAAACTTTAGTAGCTTAAACGCTTAAAAATACAGATTTTCAAAATTAAAATTTTTAAAAAAAATTTTTTGTAGCGCTAATATATTATATTATATTATATTATTAATAAAAGAGCTGGTAAGGGGAAATCAAAAAGTCAAATGAAGTTTTTTCATGACTCTTTGATATCAAGATATTGATATTCAAAATTAAAGATATTTGTTTTTAAATTTTAACAAATAATTGTAGACATGTAAGTTGAAAGCAACAACCTCGATTCATAATCACAAAATGAGATAACAGACAATTTCTACAAAATAATAGGACCACTCAAGTTACACGGAAAAAAATCTATACTGATTCCAAGAAAATTCAACTCTATCCAAGTATAGCTTAGTTTCCCTATTCCGCAAGTAAATTTATACTTGTTTCAAGTATCCTCATATTCTTATAAAATAAAGATAGCTTCGGTTTAATCTAAGATTACTGCTATACTAAAAATAAGAAACACACTAATTTTGAGTTAAGTATACAAATTTGTCTTCAATGAAGTGTACGGTATTCTTGTTGTAACGTTAGTATGTACTTCATCAAAGTATAGTTTCTTTGTAAAATCTTTACAGTATTCTTGATTTAAGAATATACTTTCTTTAAAATTTATTTATTTATACTTATTGTAAGTACACGCTTTACTTGCATAAAATGCTTGTATTCTTACTTTTCCTTTTTTATATTTGATAAAAGTATAGTATATATTTAAAATAACTTTACACTATTCTTAAAGAAAGTGGTTGATTAGAAAAAAAAATTCCCTCGTCTAGCGACTCGGAATAATTTTTACAAAAAAAACATTCGTGACCCTGAAAAATATTTGTATTAATTATTCTACTACTACGGAAAATACAAGTGAAAGTGAAAATATAATCGTTATGACAGTAATTTAACAGTATTTTTGGCATATTATTTTAATGTACTAAAGTACTAAGTATAATAGGCACTGACATCACAATAGGTTTATTACCTAACAGTCTTAGAGGTATTAGAAAAAGTACTGTCAATTTATATAAATTCATTCTTTCACGGTTAATTAACATAGATACTATATTTTACATTTTATTTTTTTAAGTACCTAGGTATCACATTTTTGGTGCTATATGTAAAGGTAAGGTTTTTTAATCACAATAGTTAATATTTTTTTAAGTAGGTATTTTTATTGTCAGTAAAATTTATCTCCAGCTAAATAATATGTAAAATGAGTCTCTAAGAAGGCTACCATTATCATCGTAGATGGTTTGGTGTTAATTCTTCAATTTTTTCTCTACACTTGATCCTCAATCCTATTTTTGGAATTAATTCCTTTAAATTCTCCTCGCTTAGGTTTACCATAATATCGATATCTATCTCGTTTTCTAAAACAAAAATAATATAGCTGAATTGGAGGCTATAGCCTTTCTGCTGTTTATGTTTTATTGTCTATTACCTGTCGTATGCTATCCATTTTACACTACAGTATACCTATCCATTTTACACTACATTTTTACGATCATGCCTAGTTAATTACTTTAAATTAATGAAATATTATTTACTTACCCAAAAATGTGTCTAGTAAAAATTCTAAGCCCCAATTTTTAAGTTTCTTCTCCATTATTTTTTATTAAAAATAACATCCAGACCGAAGAAGGAAAAAACGAACTGCCGGTGCCGACACGTACACACGCTACCACCATAGAACACAGGACAGAACTGAACACAGAAACTGCGTCTTTTGTTTTAGCGAAGCGGTCTTAGAGGGTGGACGGTATTTACTTAAGCGAAGAATAAGGTATTTGTTTTAATAATAGCTATACTTAAATACAGTATAGTGTATTCTTTGTTCTAGTCTTATACTTAAATTGAAGTATAAGCGTTCTTGTATTAAATATACATATATTTAAATAAAGTATACCGAAATTTCATACAAATATACAGAATACTTAAATCAAGTGGCAATATTCCGCTTTGAGTAAACAACTAGAGGTCTTTCATCTAAGTATTATTGTATATTTGATTTAAGTATACCAATTTTCTTTAAAATAAAATACCTTTAAACTCAATCCAAGAATACTCATCTCAAATCAAGTAACAGTTTTTCTTAAAAATTAAGTATATCCCATTACTTAGTTTAAATGTACGCTAATCTCATAGAAATAATAAATATACTTAAATCAAGTTCCTAACATGAAGTATAGAACTATTCTTAAACCTAGTAAGGGATTTTTTTCCTATAGGACCTGAATCGATTTTATTTTTAATAACAAATACCTTAGTAACAACAACTCGCATGAAAAAAGTTCATTTGACTTGTTGGTTTCTCCTAACAAGCTCTTCATAAGGGACGTTCAAAAAAATGTATATAAAATTTTTTAATTTAGCAAAATCTACAATTGTATTTTTTTTGCGCATCATGTACAACACAATGTAAGTTTCTCAACTTGAATCATATTTATTTAATAAACAGAAGAAATGATAAAGAATAACTTATTTTCGAAAAATTGAAAATAAATTTTTTTACAAGTATAGTTAAGTCCATCCGTGGACACACTGTATATATATTATACCTAAAAAAATACACAAAAAGGATTATCATTAGGTTTTTATTACTGTAAACTATTTTTACCTCGAGGTAGTAAAATGTAAAGGATTACAAATAGCTACATGATTTGTTTTGAGAAACTAATATTCTATTTAAAACAAAGAAAATGTTCATGACAAAATTTATTATTAAATGACATATTATGTAATATTAAGAAATTAACAATATATTAAGTATACTTAAGATTATAAGAGCGCTTTAAGAAGAGCGCAATCTATAGCTATTTAACAATTTTAAATACAAAATAATTATCGTGCGGCCTTTTATAAATCACTATTCTTTGGACAACAATTTGGTGTAAACTTTCTTCTGGACCAACTTGTACCGCATAACTTATCCCTAGTTAAGTGTAAAATTGGTATTATATTATTTAATATAGCTTCATAAGTGCAATTAATAAAATAATTTTACAAAACATACAATATCGTATTACATACTCTCTAAAAATAAATTAGTCAAAAATGACTAATTTAATAGTTATTAGTGGCTGCTTTTTCACTTGTACCATGGTTAACCATGGAATACCATGGAATACCAAAATTTAACATCAAATTCTTATGTAAAATTTTCCTAGAACAGTTTTGCAGATACAATTTAGTCAATTTTCCATTTAATATGAAATTGGCTATATTTCAAAAACTGCTCCACTTTCATAATTGTTGACGGTATTTTCGGATTCAGGGGACAATTTTACATAAGAATTAGCTTAATTTAATTTAAACAGCGCCTTAAAGGCAGAGAAAATTCCATTCAAATCTAAAATCTGAATTTTTTCGTATTGCTTTTAAACAGGTGTATTTTTTTAAGTGAAATGTTTTTTATATTTTTCTTTCGGAATCTTACAAACTAAGGGTGTATTATTTTTTTAATCATATATTAATATGTATTTAAAGACTCCATGGGAAAAACTTAAGTTTTTAAAATTTTAAGTGATAAATTAAAGGTTTTTTAAATATCTGCTTCTAGAAATAAGGTTAAGAAAGAACTATTAAAAAAACTTCCGCTTCATTTGTTGATAATAATTTAACAAAAGTATTCTTTTTGTAGGAGGTGAGCAAAAAAAGCGAACGAATATCGGCCCTCGAACACGAAAAAGCGAGTCTAATCCAAGTGCTTCAAATGAGGTCGAGTAACAGAAACGGCCAAGAAGAAGCCGTGTTTTGAATAAAAGAAGAATGTAAAGTCATTGTAACAAATTGTGATTCATCGTGTGACGATCGGAAAGTAGGAAAATATTTGTTTATTATGTAAATGTTACCTAGTTCGTACGTTCTCGAATGGCATAACCAATATATTGAATAATTTATAAGCAAATTTGTGAGTTGGTGCCATGATAAAATAGGTGCAATTGAGGTGCATAGTGCAAGTGATTTTATAAATTTTATATCTTTATAAGTAATAAATATATTTTATAACACATTTATCACAGTATCTTTCATAGCGAAAGCGATGTACTCCACATTTAAGGGGGTGACCCCCATCATGCTCAACTTTCCTGACGGCACCATGTAGACATGGTGCACTTCCCTCAAATACTTTATTTGGTTCTTGCTAAAACTCGTGTAAGTAAAGTACCCCTTTTGATCCGTAAAAAAGGACCAATCGCCTGGAGTACACATGCACTCCAAAGTTGATCTAAGCAGCTCCCTCATCTGATTCACCGTTTTGGAGAACATCATGAAGTTCCCGATCCACTCGGTGTAAGCATCGTGATTGTTTAAAATGTAGGAAATAACCAAGGCGCCATGCGCTGGGGGCGAGTGATACATCGCCCCGATAAGCTGAACGAATTTGTATTTCATTGGAATCACCTTTAGGGCGTTATCTGATACCACGGTTAAGCTGCCTATGCAGGTGTTGTACAGGCCAAAAGTTCGACCAGCGTTCTTAATACAAAACAACTCAAAACCGTAGGAGATGAATAACCTCACACTCCAAACATCCTCGTTCATATCTCCTAAAAGTTAGTTTTATATAAGAGATCAATATATGTACTATGCTCCACACCTCAAAGTCCCACCACGTGACCACGTACGGAACGCAGTCTTTTGAAAATTTGGCATTTAAGGCTTTTCAGGTTAGGTATCTGTCAAAGTATAGTCAATGAAAGAAATAATACTTACCTATAGTGTTACCGCTTATGTTAAACGTTAAAAGTTAATAAATCTTTATAGTATCACAATAACAATGATGGGTTTAACAATTTAGGAATATAAATACTGCATTTAATGAAATTCCAAAGTGTTAGGTGCAATATAAGTTATATTTTTGTGCATTGGGTCTACATTTCTCCATAAAATAGTTTTAACTAAACAGCATTTATTAAAAAAAATCCAACTTCTCTATTATGAAATAAGAATATCTGTATCAAAGGTAGGTTAATGTATACCCTGATAGCACAGTTTATTCTAAGAATGTTTTTTAAACCTTCCAGTGAGAATATTCTTAGGATCATGCTATATTACTTCTAGCCATGTTCTAAGAATGTTTTTTAAACCTTCCAGTGAGAATATTCTTAGGATCATGCTATATATCTTCTAGGCATGTTCTAAGAATGTTTTTTAAACCCTCCAGTGAGAATATTCTTAGGATCATCCTATATTTCTTCTAAAGAACATGCTTAAAAGAAATATAGCATAATCCTAAGAATATTCTCACTGGCCTCTAGGCAGGTTCTTAGAAGGTGCAAAGTTTTGTGGTAAAAATTAACCCACTCTAAACATACCTATGCTTAGAATGTTGAGAAAGTAATTAGTATTAAATACTAAGTAAAAAACAACCCAAAATATTTTTTATAGTTATTTATCAAATTAAAACAATATTAGATAACAAAAATACTTTTACTATAGGTATTTTATTTTATGTTAAAAATAAATATTTATTAATTTATATACCGATTTTTTATTTCTGAATTAACATTTTTATGTATAATAATCCTACTATCTTCAACTTCAATCTAATCTGACTTATCCCACAAAATTTTCCAATTTTACTTTTTATGAAATAATGTCATACAACTTATGGTTCAGAGGTCAAATTGTTTATTTAATATTTTTAAATAAATATATATTAAATGTCGCAATTTTTTTTAAGGGGACGACAAATACATTTCACTTTCATATTATGACAGTGAGGCGTATTTGTCGCCTCCTGAAGAATTTTACGAATGTATAATCCAACATATTAGAACGTGGGTATCTGACATATTTGGAAATATTCTCAAAAGCTTCCTAGAAGCTCCATAAGAAACCTTCTGAGAACATTCCAAAAACGTATTCTTAAAATGTTCTTAGATTGCTTTTTAGGAAGGTTTTAAGAAGCTTCTAAGAATCTACTTGCATCATTAAAAGGGTATCTATTGAATGTTTTAAAAGTCCCTAAGAACATTCTTAGCAATAAGGGAAGGTTCTAAGAATATTCCATTATTCCGAGTCGTATCTTCTTAGAAGATTCTTAGAATCAAATTTTGCTATCAGGGATAAGAAGAAAAAATATCATCTAATTTTGTATTTTAAGGTTTGAAAAATCTATTTTGACCAAAATAAATAAGTGGATTATTTAAAAGAGTGTGTTAATATGGTCATAAATAAATATATGAATATAGTTCAAATTAAATTGAAGCTTTTATACTTCTAACGACAAAACTTGTGCATACCTCTCGGCATACTTACTTTAAGTTAGATTATAAAAAAACAAACAATTTTTAGAGAAACTTGCAATGTGAAAATATTTAATACTCCCATGACATGTGATTTATTAAAATTTTCAAAGTTATAATGATTTTTTGATGTAGATCAAATTCAGTCGAAGCTTTTTAACTGTCTGTATTGACAAAACTTTATGTAGGTACACTTTAAGCTGGATAAGAAAAACTACCACATTTTTAAATACAATATTACCTATACAGTCTTTTAAATAATTCAAAATACTTATTTATTTTGGTCAACGTTAAAATTACAAAAGTAGATGATATTTTTGTTATAATATATTAACCTACCTTTAATACAGATATTCTTATTCCATAATAGAGAAGCTAGATTTTTTTAAATAAATTTGTTTAGTTAAAATTATTTTATGGAGAAATCCAGATATTTGGACCAAATGCACAAAAATATTACTTATTTGGCACCATACACTTTAGAATTTCATTAAATGCAGTATTTTTATCCTTAAATTCTTAAACCATCCATTGTTATTTTAATGTTTTAAATATTTATACATTTTTAACGCCTAAACATAATATTATTTCTTTCGTTGACTATACTTTGACAGATACATAACCTGAACAGCCTTAAATGCCAAATTTTCAAAAGACTGCGTTCCGTACGTGGTCACGTGGTGGGACTTTGAGCTGTGGAGCATAGTACATTTTATAGTTTCAACCTGTAGCAAACCCTTGACATCCAATATCAAATATGGGAACCATCCCCTTCCTCTTCAAAAATTTAGCCACCATCCCCCAATCTTGCTTGGAAGGATCACAACCATCGTATCCACAAGCGTGGAAAAGAATCGCCGAACCCTGAGGCGCATCTTTGAGATCTTCCACGAAACACTTAAAGTCGAATTTCTTCACCACGTGATTCCAGTGTCGATATTTTGGGAGGGTTTTAAAACCCGCTTGCTGAAATATTTCTTCGTGACGATAATCACCGTAGGCCGAAATGTAAGCTTCTTTACAGTTATCAAAGGTTAGTAGGTATTCAGCTACCAGTCTTAAGGCACCAGTACGGGATAAGGTCTGGACAGCAAAACACCTGCGTTCGATTATAGCCTCGTGGTCATGACCTGAAGAAAAAAAGAAGATACACAGTGCAAAAGTCTTTCATCCGAAGCTTTAGTTCAATCTGGTTAAAAATTGATTCAAATTATCTCTCTTACCTAGCAACATGGTGACTACTGCGGTTCTAAACGACTGCAGTCCCAAGGGAGATAAGTACTCCTTATTTAAAATCTCGTCATTACAAATTATCTTCCTGGCAAAATCTACGATAGGTATTTTCCATAACGATCCTACAGTTTCTCTGGACGATATGTCCATTAAGTCCACCTTCATGGGAAAATCGTCATTCAAAAATTGAACTTCCAATGGTCGATGCAAATTGACTTTTGGGACATTGGAGAATATGGAGGGAACGAGATTTGGGGGGGACGATTTTTTACGTTCATCTAGTTTCTGTTCCTGATGCTGCTCTGGGTTTAGTTCCAATTCAAAATTGACAAACAACATTTTGCAAGATTTTTGGCAATTTGTGTATGACAATGATAATGTCTAGTATACGGTATGTTATATATTTATATTAAGTTTTAAAATACGTATTAAACACATACTTCCAGTGTGTAGTATTAAACAACTAGTAGTGTCCTCTAGATTTACCACTGCGAAACTCCAAAGTAGCTATAGGGAAACTTGTTTAAAATTTAATCAATATTTTTAGAAGCAACTGATTTAAACAGTAGATGGCGTAGCATTACATCTTCCTTGATTTTAAATATATTTTTTGGAGATGATAAAAAACCCAAATGTAAAGTTTAGGTGCAAGGTCAAAATAAAAAAAGACTTATTTTGGCAGAACTGTTATTTCATTCAAAATAGTCTACTTAAGACTTGATACAGTGATTTGACGGTCAATAAGTTTTTTAGGTCGTCTAAAGAGATTTTTTCATCATGTTCAGAAATATCTTAATGAGGAATTCTTGTTTTATCTTGGGACCTTTTGGCATTTTATAAAATACTTATAATGAGGAATTTAAATTGTTTTTTAGGAAAATTTTAATTGCAGATATTTTCCTTTGATCTCTTTGTGATAAAAAATTGGTAGGGAAAAATAAAGAAACGCATTTTTTAGTTAATAAGTTTATTGTTTTGTTGTAATGTGTCAAATACAATGATGATATATGATTAGATTAAGTCCACATCCACGTTTATATTTAAGTAAAAAATATGATAAAAAATCAGGTTTTACATTACGGTATTGGAAAAAACGTATAAAACAAAAATAATAACACACATATATTTTCGATGATTAATCTATTTTACAATCTACAACAAACATCTATACATTTTTTATATAAGTGAAAATAACACCTCGGGTTTAACTAAGAGAAATACAGCATTTCCCGAAAATAACCAAATTACTATTATTATTATCATTACTTTTTGTTTTTTTGTTTGCAAATGACTATCTGGGGTGTACTAACACCTTAGGCGGAGTGATTAAGATTATTTTCGGGAAAGGTCTGTAAACCTTCGGTGAAGTTTCCAAATTGCTTACACTGTAATGAAAGGGTGGTCAAGTTCCTTTAATAGGGGGAAATGGAATCGGGCTTCGTTAATGCAAATGGCAGTGGCCCTCACAATTTGAATCTCATTACAGACAAAAGTCTTAAACCCTACTTTCAAGTGCCTTAACTCTGTTGTTGCAGTTTGTCTGTAAAGATGTCCATGTTCCTTTTAAATTTTAAATAATGTATATGAAGATGATGCTATTATAAATTTTTCATGTAGGTATTACTAGATATAGATGAAGTATTATTCAAAACGATTTTTATCCTAAGTTGATTTTTTCTTCTTACTGCCTGTTGCGGCGGGCAGCTGAAACAATAAAAAACACATTTAGTTACTTGAAAAAGGACAACTTGGTAATATGTAGAATATTCCCCAAATTCCTAAATCCAAATCTACCATATTTATATAACTATGTTAAAGGCTATTCCATTTTGCATTTTGTTGTAGGGTTAACTTTTTTTCACAACATCGTAAAATCAAGAGCTGATTGAGCAAAATGAGCATCATTTCTGGATTCGCACACAAGAAAACTTCTTGCTGAGACTCATTAAAGTACAAATAGGTCTCTAATGAATGTATTGATTAATCGTTTCGGTAATCGACCTTAATGGGGTGAGACCGAGCAATAAAGTGTGAAGTAAAGTAACGCGTATTGCTGAAAATTTATCCGCATAATGCGATAAACTGGAGCTTTGAAGTCAGGATACAGCTGGTTAATTGGTGGCCCTATTAGCGGTTGACTTGAGTTAACTCATTAACTTGGACTTATAAGTTTAATTATTTTCGACCTTAAATATGCCTCTATGCAGAGGGACGAGGTTGTTTTGTCGAGCAGGCCAAGTGCTTAACAAGCGAAAAAAACTCGTAATTGCTCGATAAATTCAACTTGTTCGCATCTGGGAGAATTTTTATTTATAAACTTTTCACAATTCGCTAAGGAATTTTTAATTAGGGAGTTTGGTCAGCGATTCCCTCCACCGCAGAATCTGAAGGTATTAAGTATTCCAGTATCATGTTTAAAGGGTGAAGTTTGAAATTTAACAAAATTTAGATAAATTTAAAAACATTACATTCAATGTGCATTCTGCAAATTCACTTTAAAATCATAACCAAACTTCTTCTAAACTACAAAACACATTTGAATGTTGAATATATAAAATATAAAACTGTTCAAACACAATCTAATATTTTTACTTTTTCCGATGTTGAAATCCAATGAGATTCGTCTTTATTTCAACCTCATGCATTATTTATATAAAACATAAGCGAATTATCTGCCAACTTTGAAAATGAAATTTATTTTGTGATACTAATAATTTAAAAAAAAACTATAAATTTTATTTGAAACCATATACAATATAGACATATAGACTGGGCCAAAAAAATCGACTTTTTTTTTAGTAAAGGATATCGAAAATATTGTTTGGGGTGAAAGTTTGAGTCCATAATATTAATATTAAGAGGTCTATCATCGCAATTTTAGTTTTTTTTTCCTGAGCGAGTTTTTGTCTCGGAACTCCCAAACCATTGAGTTTAACAAAATTGACTTAAGAATATTTTTTGAAGAAAATTGAATGTTCTACAAAAAAGGTTAAATTGGAATTTCCCGTCAGATAAACCGTTTTCTTACAATCATGCCTTAAAAATTGGTATAGTTTTACAATTTTATCTTTTAACTTTGGAATTTTGTAATTCATGTAAAAATCAGTACCTGGAAAAAAACCGATAGATATTTTTATGGGAAATCAAATGCTTTACAAAGTCTCCCAACATTTTTGGCTAAATTCATTCCATCAAAAGTTAAATTTGAAGTCAAAACGAAATTCTTGTTTTTTCCGCTCTAGATTTTTTTGTTGGGTCAGTTAAAAACTTGAATTCTTTTATCGTAAGTAATATCATAAGGGCATTCAATTTTTCCGAAAAGAATCGAAAAAACACGTTGCTAAGTAATATTTTAACAAATAACATGAGTGCTGGTGGCAACAAAAATCCGAGTCGAAGAGGAGGATTTTTGCACCTGCACGAATGCATTTTGTTAAAAAATATTACTTAGCATTGTGTTTTAACGATTTTTTTCACAGGAAAAATTAGATGCCCGAATGGTATTTGACAAGACTATTTCATGAGTAACAGTTAACAATTAAAATATAAATTGCAATTTTTGGTGACAACAGCTGTCAAGTTTTGCCGCGGGTAAACTCGAATAAACTGCTGACAGGTGCTGTCACACAGTTTTTTCACCTAGAAACCATTTGTAATTCAAAATTGCGCGTTTGTGATTGGTGGAAATTAAGACGAGGGAAATAGTCGATGATAATCCTTGTGTTATTGATAAAATTACTGAAAAATAAAAAAAAATAACACATTCGAGTTTTTTCGCTTTAAGAAGCTATTTTCTTTAGAAAATATTATTTTCACTGTTACCCATTTAATCGTTTAAATAATAACAATCATGTTGTTTTTTTATTGTAAATTGTTAATTAGTTATATAAAACATATTTATAAAGAAAAAAATCAAATTATCACCCATAAAAAAATCTACATAGGAAAAAACAAGCATTTCGTTTTGACTTCAACTTTAACCTTGAATAACTTTTGATTGAGTGAATTTAGTCAAAAATGTTAAGAGGCTTTTTTTGTAAAGCATTTGATTTTTGATATTTATCGTTTTTTTTCTGGGTACTGATTTTTACATGAATTACAAAATTCCAAAGTTAAAAGATCAAAATGTAAAACTATACCAATTTTTAAGGCATGATTTTAAGAAAACGGTTAATCTGACGGAAAATTTCATTTTAACCTTTTTTGTAGAGCATTTAATTGTCTTAAAAAATATTTCCAAGTCAATTTTGTTAAACTCAATAGTTTTGGAGTTCTGAGACAAAAACTTTAAAATTGCGATGATAGACCTCTTAATTATAATATTATGGACTCAAACTTTCACAATATTTTTTTTTGTCACCCCAAACCATATTTTCGATATACTTTTCAAAAAAAAATAGTTGATTTTTTTGGCCCAGTCTTATATATTCTGTATTACATATTTATTTCAAATATTTGTTTTCAAAATCAAAATAAAGAAAATAGTTTTTGATAGTATGTAAAAGAAGTTTCATTTTATAAGGATACGATCAAAATCTATTATTCGAATATTTATTCGAATATCAAATTAATTATCTTTTGAAGTTTGTTTTAAAGGCATGATATAAAAGTTTTTTAGCAAGGAAAATTGATACCCATTAATTAAAAATCTAGTTTTTCAAAGAAGGTTCATTAAATTTTTTAAGACTTCACAAAGTAGATTAATGCAAAGTTTTTTAATTCTCGTATGCAAAATTTGTTTATTAATGTTATTTGATGCATCATTAGGGTGATTAAATAATTTTTTTTTTAATTTTAAAAAATGGCTTCTTCACTGCATTTTGTTTTGATGAGGTTATAAAATAATCGTTTAAAGTGAAAACTTATAGAACCTCTTCATTGTGCTTTGTTACAAATGTTTTCCACACCAGGTACCAACAGAAAGACTGTTTCGGTCTTTTGGATCTCATTAGTGACGGGTAGCCGTGTGGTGTACAACCAGCCATGAACGAAAGTATCAGCACCATCTACCGTCCAAAGGACGTAGCTTGCCTTTGGTATATTGTTATCAAGCATGTTATTTTTATGGTATAGAAATTAATAATTGATTAATATATTTTGTGCATTGGGTAAGTGTGGATCCTTGTGTCAATGATTAATGTATTCATTAAAATTGAGCAGAATAATAATTCGAGTATGTTCTAATTAGCATCAAAGTTCCAATGGGCATGCATTAATTACTTGAATAGTGGAAATTCGTAAAATTATGCATGGCACAGTAGTGTTTTGGCACAACATCGAGCGATAGTATGTGTTTCGGAGTGTTGCGCATTGTAAGGTCAATAAAACCGAATTCAATGCGAAGAAAATCTCACACATACCATATCCTAAATTTATAAAGGCTGTTTGTTGAAATTCTTTAAAAAAATAATCTATAAATTATGATGACCGATCTTATAGCAGACTAAACTGAGTTTTTATTTGGCAAAATTTTATCTGGACATCCTGTATATATTTATATATATATAAATGTATGTACAGGGTGATCCCCTATAATGTCGCCCCCCTTTAACTTTTTTATTTTAAGTGTCCCAAAAAATTTAAAAGTGTGGTTATGTAGGAACTAAAAAATACTTTTTTTCTACGTATAAAGAAAATTGGAAAATTGATCAGTATACAGGGAAAAACAAAAAGTTTATTTTTTTTCAATGGATCACCCTATATTTGAATTTATTTTTCGATTCCTTGTGAAATTCTGAGCATAATTTATATACAAACCATATACCTAAATTCAACCGTTTCTGAAATATTCGCATTCGAAATGTCATCATTAAATGTTTTTTTAAACTGTTAAAAATCAAGAAGCCTCAGTATACCAAAATTTTTATTGAAAATAAATTACTATAGTGACATTATGTCAATAAGTGTTGTTAAATAAGTAAAAATGGCGTACTCAGACAGAGAAAGACAAACTATTTCAACTTATTATCTTAAAAATAATTTAAATATTTCAGAAACGGTTGAATTTAGGTATATGGTATGATATATGAAATATGCTTAGAATTTTACAAGGAATCGAAAAATAAATTCATATATAGGGTGATCCATTGAAAAAAAATAAACTTTTTGTTTTTCCCTGTATACTGATAAATTTTCCAATTTTCTTTATACGTAGAAAAAAAGTATTTTTTAGTTCCTACATAACCACACTTTTAATATTTTTGGGACACTTAAAATAAAAAAGTTAAAGGGGGGCGACATTATAGGGGATCACCCTGTACACTACCAACTCAATCAAAAAAGCAATTTGAAATACACTTTCAATATTTACAGGAAAATTCGACAAACTGACACTAATATTTTAAAAGACGGTAGTTATGCAAAACACATATTAAAAAATTAAAATTATCCAACGCAATGGATAAGCGAGATAAGAATAAAAAACGATAGCCAATCCCAATACATGACCATAGGGAATTCTTCAAATTGCTAGGATACTTATTGTTGATATTATAATATGTAAAATTTTTGGTCGACTGGAATCCACTTCATGGTGACACTGCTGCCAATTATTGTTCCTTTTATTATTTATCATTTTAAGTTATGTTTTCGTCTTTTGATTTTGCCGAAATGATGATTATAATTATTGATGAGTATGAGCGCAATGCTAGGGTTGTAACGAAATTGAAGGTGCTCCTTAACGTATTAGAACAGCGGAAAATAAAGAACCTATTTTCAATGCCTTTGATGCAAATACACACAGGCAAAATAATCGATCCACACAAATTTTTGATGAATTTCAATCGCAAATAACTTTTTTATTTGTTTTCGGATTTAAACAAATATTAAAGAATATTGTAGATACATTAATGGAGAATCGCTCACATTTTAAAAATAACTAAAAAATACACGTACGTTTATAATATACAGGTTTAAACAAAAAGATGAGGATTTACCATAAGTTTAAGACACTCTGTAGAGTGGCAAAACCGTATATTGTTCTAAATTAAGTTTTAATTATAAAGTCACATCTATTTTTAACAGTTTTGTTTTTGGTTCACCTTGATATATTTAATTTGTGGAAAATATGGATTTTTTTAAAAAAACATTGCAGGATGACAGTGACAGTTTTTTTGAATCATCCCATACTTGGACATGTCATATACAGCTTTCAAAAGCTATCAAATTGTTTTTTGTAAATTAATGTGTTAATTTTGAGGTGTTTTCTTACTTTTAAAAATGTCTCCGACTGATGTTGCCCTTTGCACTTTACTTCTTGTGACGTTTAAAACACTTGCCACGTAATACTATGACCATCCATCCTGGATTAAATTAAAACTCTGGCAACATCATTCGGAGACATTTTTAAAGTAAGAAGACACCTCAAAATTTAAACATTAATTTGCAAAAAACAATTTGATAGCTTTTGACAGCCGTGTATGACATGTCCAAGTATGGGATGATTCAACAAAACTGTCACTGACATTCTCTATAGCCTATGGATGGACAATAGCAACCTTAGTTCTTTATACAGAAAAATATTGGAAATTGCAATGTTTTTTTTTTAAATCCATATTTTTCACAAAAATAAATATATCGAGGTGAACCAAAAACAAAATAGATGGGACTTGATAAATAAAACTTAATTTAGAACAATATACGGTTTTGCCACTCTACAGAGTGTCTTAAACTTATGGTAAAAAACATCTTTTTGTTTAAACCTGTATATTATAAACGTACGACTATTTTTAAGTAATTTTTTAAAATGTGAGCGATTGTCCATTAATTTATCTACAATATTCTTTAAAATTCGTTTAAATCCGACATCAAATAAAAAAGTTATTTGCGATTGAAATTCATCGAAACTTTGTGTGGATCGATTATTTTGCCTGTGAGTGTAGAAGGAAGAGCATAAGGGAAGTTCCACGCGAATTTCCCGTGCACAGTTCAGCGGGTTGTGAAGGACGTTCATTTTACCTGCATCCGGAAGATAACCCCGCTAGAGTGGAATTCAGTAGTGGTTGCTAGAGATTTTGGCTCTGGGGTACAGAAGTAAATTAATTTTTACTTTAAAACTTTTAATATTTGTTGTAGAAAAAGTATAAAATACAACTTTCCTAGACACTTATTTTATTAAACCCACGCTTACAAGCTTCCTTTAACCTTATAAATTCTTTTTTCAACGCTTACACATTATTTCAAGACCCCATAAAACTGATAAGGCAACTCGTGGCAAATTATTATCTGTTTTGCACTTGAACTGTTTGCCATCAAACTACATGTACCGTCGAATGCCGTCGTAAACCGTAAGATACAATTCGCGATAAATCACATGTTTATTATCTTCAAGGAAAACGTCCCTTTTCCGCACGGAAAAACTTTAAATATTCCTCTACATTCGCATCGAGGTAGTTGAAGTGATCTGTATTCAATCTGGCGTATGCCGATAAGAAAGCAATTTTATATCTATTACCTACACAATATTACATTGTGGATTAAAGTAACCAAAATCAACAAAGGCAAAATCTTAAATCATAAAATAAAAAGGATAGCTACGTTACCTTTACCTTTCGTTGGCTTGGCGCCCTTGGGTTTGCATTTCTTCGTGATCTGTCTGTTTTGTTCGCAGGAAGCGTCGCTGTTCGGCTTCAGCTTGTCGTTTCTTGTCATCTGGCTCTGAGCGTTGCATTCGGCCCATGCGCCCTTCTCGTATCGACACGCTGAAAAAACGACAAAATTAAAAATACTAAAAAAACGATGAATAAGAGGCTACGTTGAACAGTCCCCTGGGGTGCAATGGGGGAGATTTAGACGAACCAGGAAAATGGGATTTTAATATTTGATGTTCGTAAGCAGAGTGTGTTATGTTGTCTTTAAATTATTGAGATCCACATACAGGGTGTCCGGAATACCCCATGAAAGATCCAAAGATCCTTTACACATAAACTTGCCATTATTCTTGCTAAAGGATCTTTCTTGTTAATAATAGGTGTCGTATATACTAAACTTTTTAGATTACCCAAAGGAAAAAATCCAGTGGGTTTATATCTGATGATCGCGCAGGCCAGGCTATGGGTAAAATTATTGTCAATTTTGTCAAAATGCACTGTTTAAAATATCTGTGGTGTAAAGAGTAATCTTAAAATGGTGTCAAAATCCAACACCAAGTAGTGTTAATATAAACACCATGAATTATGGTTGAAAATGTTTTATACAGCAAACACCAAAACAGTGTTAATCTAAAAATATTTGAGAAGTGCACCTACACAGAAAAAAAAGGAATAGTTCATTTAACTATATTAATTTAGTTGACCCATAAGTATTTATTTAAATCAACTGTGGGAATAAACAAAGATTAGCTTGACGGTACTAAACCAGATAGTTATTTTATTCTTTTTAAATTGATTAAATTAACCCAGAAAAGTTTAGTGAAACCAACCCGCTGTATGGTTCAGTTTACTAAATATGTTGTTTGTAAAATAAGAGTTATTTCAACCTAAAGCACTCTGTTAAAACGATTAAAACAATTTGCCGTGCATTCCTGGTTGCATAGTGTATACCGATCGCGGCAAAGGCGGAGTGGATCACGTGATGTTCTTAAATCTCGCCTCTTACATGAAGAGTATATAAGCTCAGGTAGTCCTTTGCTTTGGTGTGACACTACAAGTTGTTTGATACTAAAGAGACCTTAAATAGGTGGAAACAGCTGTCAATACTTAAATATTTTAAGTTGGTGGAACGCACTAAAAACATTATCTCTAGCGAGTTGAAGATTCAATTTTCTGGAATAATGCCACTGGTAATATACTAGTTATGCGTCAAGGAACTTCCTGTTTCCTTTTTTTTCCTTTTTTTCTGTGTAGTATGATTTAATTTGACCAAAAACACATAATATTTAACACTGAAAAGGAGTTCAATTTACACCAGGTAAAATTTATTTTAATACTGTGTGAAACGAACCATATTTAACACCATTTGGGATTGTATCGATATAGACCATGTAAGGTGTTAATTTGGTGTTAAAATGGTCATACAATTTTGAACAGCGTGTCACCCTGCAGTTTATAAAGAAATACTATTAAGTTATGCAAATATACTGCGGTTTTAATTATGTGTGTACCATTGCCCTATAAATTAAAATAATTGGATCTAAAGAGGCTCGGGCAAAACCAGAACACACAGGACATGTCTAGGATTAATGTTAATTAAATGTTAGGTTATTAAGACAGGCAAAGGGTTGTTTGGGGGCGTATATTTTGCGATATTACGTGCTTTCAGCTTATAACCGTTAATTAATGTTTTATCTAGTGTATGAAGTAAGCAACACCATTTCGACTTATGTTTGCACGAAAGAAAAGCAAAATAAATATTAGTGCAACCCAGATTGGTAATAAATGAACGAAGGCAATTTTTTCTAAAAATACAATTTAATCTGAAACTTGTCCCAGTTGAGTTTTAAATCTCTATTTAATTTGTTTTCGAAATAATATTAGACTTGAGAAAAGAAACGAGGGTTTATTATAATACTTTATTTATTATATACTTCTCATCATTTTTAAATAAATAAGTAGTTTTTCACAAAAGACAAGAAGTCAAAAGTCTTACTCGAGAAATTTTATTCGTAAAGTTTTAATTGCACAGCTAAATCGCGCAAGTTATTTGTGTTATTTTTTGTAAATATTTAAGTATATTACAAAAGATCCATGTTTTTTAACTTGTCCACCCAATTTTAATGTATTTTTTCAAAAGCACGTTTGTAGAAAAACATAATAAATATTCAATACATCAGTACCTTGGCGTGTCACAACTCCTGAATCAAATATTTGAGTGATTTTATTTTAAAAAATATTTATTTATCTTAAATTTTTCAATTTCACTACAAACTATAAAACATTAAATAATGTATTTTTCATATTTTATCATAGATTCGAATAATAGCAATTTTTAAAAATTGATAATCTTTGTACTCACTTTTACCCGTCAGTTCTGTGTCGAATGTTAAAATTAAAAATTCCTGAGAAATATTGAAGTTTAAACGTCAAGTCCTCGTTTTAACTCAACTGTTAATAAAAAATTACCTACAGAGCCCGCCCTTTGCACGACAGTCATCTTAAAAACAATGCAAGCAGCGAAATTGTGGTGAATGCACGTATGAATGCAGTCAAAATTTCAGTACTGTGGTGGGTAGTTATTTTCTTACGTATATATATTTTATTGTAATTTATATAAAGCTATATGTGATTTGTTGATAAGTAGCATCCACTAACAAAAAATATCAGTAAAATACTTAATTCCGAATTATAATCTCAAATTTGTATCCCATTCATCAGCACCGTGTCATCAGTTCCATGTTCAATGTTTCGGTTATCTTTTTTTCGCAAACTTCAATTTAAATTCTGCTTGCGCAGAACTTGTTTATTTAATGTAATAAACTCATATAAATTTGGTGTGGGTCCCATATCTAATAATTGAGATATCGGTATACCCAAAATCCACCAGCCGCCACTGATGTGTGGTGTTATTTGATTTTAAGATATTTAATGTATAATATGCTTAAAGTTGCAATAAATCTTATATTTTCCAATAAATTATGTATTTTATTTGTACCCTGGTATACTCGTCACTTCCCTTGCATTTAAATTTAGAAAACACAAATATTTCAGAAACTGAAAAAGTGACTGGCCCGGTCTGGAACAGTATTTATTGTATTATCTATGTTCTCATAACAAAATACTGTTTAATTTTCTTCAAAATGAGGTCAGAAGTTGCCTAATTTTTGTAGAATCACCCAAAACTTTAATGTTTTGTATTTTTTTAAACTCTATGTCATCTAAATGACAAAACCTTTATTGGTTCAAACTTGGCTTGGGGTGGATATGTTACAGATGACATAGCTAAATATCGTTATAAATATGAAGCTCTAATTCCAAGCAGACCTTCATTACAATATCTCATATAAACCAAGCTCAGACTTCTATTCAGAGTTTTTAGAAGGAGACGTAGATGGTTGTGAACTTTTTTCGTGTTTCTTCCTGCTGCATCTTTCTATTTTCCCTTGCTGTAGTTTTAAGGTGAGCACTACTCATGCTACTTGAAAAATCTCAAATCCCACTAAATGAGCCAAATCGAATAAAGCAGAAATTGAAAGCAAGATGAGGAGAAGAGGTAGAAGCGTAAGCATTTTCTTGCGGCAAACAACATCGGCGGAGCGTTGCATTTTGCATTGTCTTCCCATTCTCTTACTCGACGACACATAAGTGATTTCCTCGCATCTGCTCTCTACTGCCACCACCTAGGCTCAACCAACGGAGCGTTAACGTAACGAAACGATAATCCCTAACCGCGTACACATCAGATACATGTTAGGTATAATTTAACCATATGTTTCCATATCTAATTCTCCGTTGCCGCTGCAGCGCTGTCTCAAAGCTCAGCCACAAGGCAAAGTTTGTTCTTCTTAATAAGATAAGTCATATTATGGCGTGTACTAACTAACTGGATTACGTCGAGAAATGTGATCAAGTAACCAAAACATGAAACCATGCTTTCAATAACAAAAAAATACATTTTACCAGAGCTTGTAATGGGACGATATATGGGGCAGTTAATTTTTAACATTTCTTAATTTATTATTTTAATACATTGATTTTATATAAATTCAGTTTTGTGAAAGTGTTGTTTATTTAAATAGGTATGTCTTTTCTATATTTAGTTATTATAATAACTATAACTAATTATATATAATCTAAGGTCACAAATATCATAATGAGTGGTTATTTATTTAATATTTAATTTAAACTATTTTATTATTATTATTTCAGCTTGTTCTTTGTGAAAGAAGGAATAAGCTGAATTGTTTTATCTTAATGGTTGTGGTTGGACAAACCAAATTACAAATTTATTATAATCATTATTTGAATCGTCTAATTTCAAAAGCGGCCATATCCTTTGAAGAATATTTTAAGTAAACGTCAAAAAAACATTCTGAACAGTAATGAGTAAAAAATAAATATATTTTGAAAAACTTGTTCATATGGTAACTAAAAATATTTTTTTATACAAAACAAGTAACCAGATTTAAGTTTTAATTAAAAAAACATATATTTCAAAAGGGAAATGGGCATTTTAAGTAAATTTTTGTACTTAAAACATCAATGGAGATGGCCGTTATTAAAACTAACATAAAACTTTAACGAATTATTTTCCTTGCAAATAGCCGTTCTTGTTGGGATATAATTTTGCACTAACATACTACGTAATATTTCGATTTTATTAGTGTAAATAACTCATTTAAAAAAAAAAATTGGAGATGGCCGCTTTTGAAATTAGACGATTCATTTTATGTTTATAATTGGGTCAGAATTTCTCAAACGGGCCACCTGAATTAGGTCAAAATTAGTTTTTGATTGTAGATACATTTTTTCGATAGTATTTTACATCACTAACACAAATCCTAAAGGATTTTGTAAAAAAAAAAATTTCAATTGACATATTCATGATATTAAAAGTAAAAGTTTTTAGTAATTATAATTTTATAAAAAATAAAAAAAAATCATTATGGCTAAACTAATTATCCGATTCCAACGATTTAACTAGCGTTGGAATCTTGTTTTGACATAGATTCTTTGTTATTTTTTTCAATTGTACAATTTTCATTTAGGTCGATTTTTTTTTGTTTTTTTTATAACAAATTCGGAAATAATTGGCTTCTGCGCCAGCTATCGACTCGAAAAAAAAAACACATATACTCCAATCATTTTTCGAAATTATGCTGCTGAGAAAAAAAATGGCCCGCAGGTTCCAGACCACCGTAAGACGTCGCGTCACAAGCGCGTACAGCGTACACGGTTCGGAGCGTGAGCTGACACCGCGCGCGGCCACAAAAGAACGAATAACTTTTTGTCAACCTGCGGGCCATTTTTTTTCTCAGCAGCATAATTTCG